CAATAATTTGAAAATCACTCGATAAGATAACTCAATTGAAAATCTGTTATTACACATTTCTTATATGCACACAGGACAGACCTGACATTTTCTTCGAAAGAAGTGAAGACCCAAAAAGAAGAAATGAAGAAATCAAATTTGCTATTGGTATGATCATAAAGCATACACCGCCAGTCGAATGCAATATTAATGGTGTAATAGTTGGTTGGCATTATGAATGTGATAGCGTGTTCACTAATCTATTGAATCAGTTGGATGATATAGATCCAATAAGTAATTTGAATCATCCACTTATATCAGGGAATCTATATCTACTCAACAAGTTGACAACTATCGAAAGTTGTTTTTGTAGAGAAAGTCGAACAACTGATTGTATGAAACAACCGCATTATTTAATTCTCACAGATAGCAATCAAATACGTTATGTGGAACAAAGTATAAATGTTAATAGCATTCTTCTTTTTGTTATTATTACTTACTTGTATGATATGAAATTTATCAATTTTTTTTAGATACTATATGCTCCACAAATAAACGACTAGAGGGGATCAATAATGTAGAAATAGGGAGATACTTCACTAGATTCGAAGATACTCATTATGTACCAAATGAAAACCTGGCAAAACTATATCCAGACGATGCTGCTGCTATTCTCGAAATACCTTCCAGTCAGTAATATGTAGCATGTACAATTCATGATATAAATATATTAAAATTGTATGCATAAATAATATTGCACGTCATAAATTTAAAATGTTTATGCAATGTTTAATTACATTATAAAAAATAAAATACGTTAAGAATATACAATTATGTGCGTATTAACATTAAATATTAATGTTTCGTGTTAATAGGATAAACTTTGTCATCGATGAATTGACTTGGGCTCTCGTATATTCTACAACACTGCGTGATTCCCAATTTAACTCTCAACATATCCAATGAATATATTATATAAATCAATACAATATAATTATACAAATTATCTTCCAAATTTCGTAACTCATACCCTATATACCAAATTAGGCATACATGTTCTACGTATTTTATAAATGTTTGCTAGGTCGATCAATCATAAGTCGAATACGATGCAAAACATCGTTATATATTATAGTATCGTTATATCATAGTTATAATATTTGCTCAATTTTATAAATAACGAAATATTATTTGCTTGCATACACACGCAGAATACTTATGAGATTTTCTTATTTTTTATAGATTATAACAAACAAAAAAGAATATTTTTATTTGCACAAGTTAGTTCGAAAAATTTATAATTAGAATATTTGCGTATCACTTATTATCACAGACATAAAATTAAGAAATTATAATTAAAGATTTTGAAAAAAATTAGTAAAAAGATATAAATATTCTATAAATAAAGAATTCGAAATGAAGAATGTTGAAAAGTCATAGTATAAAAATACAAGAAAAAATGGAAACATCCTGAGAAAAAAGTGAAAGTGAATAAAAAATTTAAAATTATTTCCTTATACCGATTTTTCAGACAACGCAGATTTTACGAAACTTTTCGAAAGCTTACTTTTCATTCAAACTTTCATGTTAATAAAATTATTGCGATGACGGAAACGCTATCAATTTAAACAAAGCAACAAAGCTATAAAATTATGAAATTCAAATAGATTAGAGAGTAAATGTTGTGTAGAAAATTGTAAAAAATTTTCTTTAAGAATTTGTGAGATGATTCTTTGTTCATTACTCATAACCAATCATAACAGAGGAAGTTTTGTCCAATTTGTGTAGATTGGTCAATCAAATCATTTGAAGTAATCGTAGGAGTCAAGATGTACCCTACTGGTAGTGGAAATTTTTAACAATTTAGATTTTAAAGAAAAAGTGAAAACGAGCGTTAAGGGTATCAAATCCCTACATTATTATGTGCATTTGTCCAATATTAACTTATTGGATACTAACAAAAAAGAATTAGAACATCTTCTAATTTCCATTGTTGAAGATTCAATGACTTATTATTTTGTTTTCGATGATAAATTCAATTATTTCTCCAAAAATATATCTACGGTAAATTTCAATATCATGTTGCTATTAATATTATAAATTAATATATAAATATTATGCAATTACTGTACAATTAAAATAAAATGTTTTTGCAGGAATTTAGACTCCAATTTGGCAAATATATACAGCTTTGATCGAATTAATTACTATCTGAAACAATATCGCTTTATGTACAAGCTAAATCAATTTCTAAATATGCCAAAGGAGAAGCAACTTTTTGAACGTCTAATTATTATTATGGCACAATATTGTAAACTATGTGTGTCTTACTCGGTCATAGAAACGTTCTTGGATGATTTTGCCCATGAAGTATTTTCCCTTGTTAAAGAAAAATATCCTGAGCATTCTATATTTTCAACATCTCTTGAGCAAATTTCATTTTGGAGAAACAATAATATCGAACATAATTTCTGGAATCGAACAGAAGCAATTCAAATTATAGAAATTCTTCAAGAATTTATGTCGGAACATGAAGTTTATAAATTAAATAAACTATTGACAACATTAGGCATAGTATACGAATTTATAATTAATGTAAGTAATTTTAAATAATTTTACAAGTTATAATTATACTTTGTTTTATGGCGCATAAGCATAATTATGCTTTTATGTCTTATACGTACTTCTAATAAAATACAATTTATGTCATAGTTTTTATATCATCGAAAGTTTTTATAAACTATTACATATCAGTGCATGGCTAGAAGTCTTGGCATATATTGTTGTGCAACATATTGTACAAGATTGCATAGGCCTGATAAATTAAAGTGGAGATCAAAATAGTAATCATAATTTTAGCTCCAGAGCTTTTTCAATATTCTGGTTTCTATTTTTATATACATACGTCCTTTCGGCGCGTCGAATCAAATCAGCGTTAAAAATCATCTTCTAATGTGTTATCAAAGGTTGTTTAAGAAGAGCAGACAAAAGATTTGAGCGAACTGTCAAACTGTTCAGATGTATTTCTGACAGCTCCGACTATTCGCCTATTATATTATATTGTCGATTATATATACATATTTATACATATATACATATTTATACATATATACATATTTATACATATATATATATATATATATATATATATGTATATGTATATGTATGTATATATGTATGTATATATATATATATATATATATATATATATATATATCGATGTTTATTATTTTATTATGTTTCAGTAATATAGAAGATATGGAGACAGGAGAATATTATTTTAAGAAAGCTAATTCAAATTTATTCGTATTCGACATAATACAATAAATATTGAATGGTACTCTTCATGTATATAATTGCTATAAAGGTAGAAAACTTTATATATATCTATATATTGAATCAACAAGTTTAAATAGCAATTAATTAAACCAATAAATTTTTTATTATTTTCTTGTTTACGAAATTTTGTTTATACGTTTATTTTTTTTAGTCGACAAGAATGACAATGTTTTATTTGAATGAATCATTGAGTCATAAAAATTATGTAGATCTAATTCGTGATTCTAACTCACCTGCTCGATATCCCCTAAACAATTATATGTATCTTATAAAGCAATGGTTTATAAAATATAAAAATATTGAAGAAATACATATTGAAACTGAATATAGTAATATTACAAAATCAATAAAGGTAATTTATCACATATCATATAATTTATGATATATAAATGTAATTAATTATTAATATATGTATATATATATATATATATATATATATATATATATAAAGAGATTATATTCATTATAATTAATTTATAATTTAAGTTATTACAATAATAACAAAAAAGTAATTACAATAATTTGAAAATCATTCAACAAAATACCAGCTAAAATTCTGTTATCATTACTTTTCGTATGCACACAGGTCAGATCTGATATCATAAGAGATGAAGAACAGCCGAAAAAAAGAAATAGAAAAATCATGTTTGCTATTGGTATAATCGTAACGTATTTTTATTTGTCATCATCAATAGTTTATTGCGATGGCGTGATAATTGGTTAGCATTTTAAATGCGATGCTGAATTTACAAAAAAATATTAAGATCTATAAAGCCGTATCGGCTGACAAGTTCCAGCATCTGTGACTGTTTTAAGTATGATACTTCCGATCAACCGCATTATATAATTCTCACCAACAATAATGGAATACGTTATGTGCAACAAGGTATTAGCATCCTTTTTTCTATTATTATTCACCTGTATAATATGAATTGACTAGTTTATCAATTTTATTTTAGATACTATTTTGGAATGCTCAACAAATGAACAATTAAACATGATTAATGTAGAGATAGGGCGATACTTTTCTAGATTCAAAGGCACTCATTATGTACCAAATGAAAGCCTGGCAAAACTATATCCAGACGATACTGCTGCCCTTCCCGAAATACTTTCCAGTCCATATAATAGGTAACATACATAATTTAGAATATAAATATATTAAAATTATACATAAGTAATATTGTACATTATAAAATTAAAATATTTACAAAATTTTATTACATTATAAAGTTAAAATATTTACAATGTTACATTAAAAATAGAAAGATATATATAGATATATATATATATATATATATATATATATATATATATAATTATTAATATATAAATATAACTACCAGGAAAATCCCAAGATCTAATAAATACTATTATATTAATGTTACAGCAAAAGCAAATTGGAACCTATATATTGGTGGTAAGTATGATTTCACACTTTCACTTTCAATGTGTCCTAATAAGTGAAAATTGAATATTTCATGTGATTCAAAAATCAATATCCTATATGAAATTAGGATATTCTGGAATTATCAATATCCTATATGAAATGTGCTATATGGAATTGTATCAGAAATTAAGCTCTAAATTAAGATAGAAATAAAATTATATATTGGGTTAGAAAATAAATATAATTACCAAACATATTTATTTATTGATTTCTTCATAAAAATAGCTTTTTTATAATATAAAATATTAAATGCTTATTGTAATGCACAAGTTTTGTTTCAATACATTATATAAATATCTTGTAATTTCATTAATTTCCATGATTAAAAAAAAATAAGCACCTCTCCATTCTACAATTCCTTTCCTGCATTATTTGTATTATTTTGAATTATTTTCAACAAAAATGGATCTACAACTTCAGTAATTGGTTTCAATTGTTCATATCTTTGTAATAATACAACTATATATTCCATCATAAACCGATAATATTCCGTAAATGGCAGACTCGACAGTGTTTGTGCGTTCTGTACAAATGTTTCTATTGTTTCAACATAGTGCATTGAATGTGCAAGATAGAATAAATGTACATATAGTAATACCATTAAACATACAAAAAGTAATACTACTATTAAACTAATAATAAAAAACCATAAAATCGCACGAACAAGAAACCGACGTAACCCAGTGCCTGAGAAAGAACAATAATCATTAATAATCACGAAACAATTATAATACGTAAATCATGAACAAGATTCAAGAATAAAGATTGTAAACATGAACATTCATTACCTGTCCAAGATTTGTGTGATTCATGTGTAGACATATTATCAGAGAGTAATTCTGTTAATTTTACATCATCATTATTGTCTTGAAAGCTATTATCTTCTATTTGAGAATTAATTTTATCTTCGTCCGACTTGTACTCTTTTTCCACATTCTTTTTCTTTTTTTTCTTATTATCCTGTAATTTTTTTTTTACTCTCTTGTTCAAGTCCTTTAATCTACGTAATCTTTCTTCTTCTACATACAGTTTAATAGTAGATAGATAAGTAACAATACTACGAGCGCATGCTTGACATTCACTCATATTACTACAGGGTCCGGCAACACTGGCTACAGTTTCAGTCAAAGGGTTCTCTTTCAAATCCAACCATCTTAAATTCTTTAGTTCGCTTAAACTCAGAGGCAGCCTACTAATCTGTAAAATATGATGCATATATCACAATGATGCACGTAGTCACAGACATGTAAGGATACATACAAATATGAACAAATATAAAAAAATATTTCTTTTTTCACCTTATTAGCATATAAATCCAAATATTTTAATTGTGTCATTTTGCCAAAATTCTCTGGCAATTCAATCAACATGTTTCTGCTAAGATCCAATTTTACAATTTGTCTTAAAGTAACAAAAGTGGTCTGTAAAAGATCCCGTGTGAAAATTTATCGTGTCTAAATTGCACAGAATTAAAGTCTGAAACAACATACCGGTAACGAAACCAGGAGATTGAGCGATAGATTTACGTTTGTAGCTTTTGTAAGAGACCCCTGAAACATATGATGCGATGTCAAAATTTATTAATTTCCACAAATGTCAGTTTTTTTTTTTGCAAGACAGAGGAAGAGTCGCTCACAATTTCTCGCACGGGCACCTCCTCCAGCTCGTACAAGCTGAGATCTAGAGTGTCGTCCTTCAATTTATCCTTTATATCCTTCAGTTTCAGTTGGACAGTCATGTTTATCGAAATGCAGGGACTGTGATGTATAAAAAAAAAACCTACAATAATTCGTCCAACAATATTTGCAGGCGCGTTTAAAATGTCGAGTTACAAATTATCTCATCTGCGAGAAATGCGCAGTAACCCCTCCAAAATATAGTTTATCTTCCTCCTATCACTTACAATACACGTAAGCAAACTCTTGACATATGATGCACCAGGGGAACACCCACATGGACGGTGGACATGGAATCTATAGCAAGTGACCCCCCCCTTGCTGAAAACTGATCTCTCTTGTGATTGATCTGACAAGGATAAGAAATTATCTCTCTCTCATCGAAAATTTATAATTTATAATTTATAATTTATATAATTTATATGACGTAATTAGATTGTCAATAATGCAAGTATTGAAAAACGTTTTTCTCTTTTGTAATAATTTTTATCCTTTCTCTCGCAAATTTATAAGATTGTAAGGTAATCTCTTTTTGTATTGTATAAATTAATTTGCATTTTTTTCCTGTAATTATTTTTCTTCTCCAAAAATATCCTTGTATATAATTTTTAGGGTAAAAAAATTGTTATGCAGGTTTTTTCATATTTTTCTATTGTTCAATTAAATTAATCATAATTCATATACGATGTTTTGGCTCGATATTGACATTTCTAACAGAGAGAAGACTGAGAGTGTTATGACCTATTTTTAGGTGAGGAGGATCTTTGAAAGCGATACTCCCTCTATGGACATTGAAAACGTGGACATGAACTACAAAGCCAATGTCCATGTTAATTAATTAATTAATTATAAAAACTTCAGAAGAATCAGTGATTAATTTCAAACAAATTCAATACATGTATTAATAATTAAATTTTTAAGTAATTAAACAAATAATTAATAAATATCAAAGCTCAGTTTACTGCTAATTAAGAAGATTGATAGAAATATGATTAAAAATGTTTTTATCCCACAACAGGCATTTTGTGTTTTGTAAATAAAAAGATATAAATATAACAATAAATATAGAAAAATATTTATTTCATCTTTGAATATTACAGTATCTTTCACGATTGGATAATTTATTTGCTATCAATTTACATACATAAATATCTTGTTATACAGCATTGGTGTTAATAGCATTTCGTGCACATAGCACGGAACAAAACCAAAAATTATGCACATTATATATTATCCTCTGAGAACATTCATGAACATTGACTTTGTAGTTCATGTCCTCGTTTTCAATGTCCATAGAGGGAATATCGCTTTCAGAGATCACCTAAAAGCAGGCCAAAACATCTCTTGGGCCGGTATTCATAGTCCGATCTTATATTTGAGATCGTCTTAAGCGGCCTTTTCATTGACGCTACTTTTTAGCATCAATGAAATTGCACCTTAACAGTTGGCAGCCCTACGAGATAGGCTGTGCAGCACTGCGCGTATATAAAATAAATTTGAAATCGCTTCTAGCCTAATCATCTTCACGCGATCAACTTTATTTGAATTGCACGGCATCGCATCGAATTATGATGCGGCGCCGATTTGTTCGAACGTAATTCGGGACATCGCGATGCTGTATAAGCGTCGAATGAGCACGAATTGTCACGCAAATATGATAAATCACATCTACTCACCGTTCACCGGCTGTTCCACAGGCCGCTCCACTCGCTCGCCTCGGGCGACGTCCCATTCCGATCTTGATGCACACGATATCATCAACGCGAACGCGCGACACTTTATTCGGCACTCCCGATATTCGCTCGCATCCGATAATCATCATCAAGGGCGCAAATAACGCGACGCGACTTCGCTCCATCTTCGCGATCGCGCTATCACTGAACTGTGAAAAATAGCTGTCGCGCACTTTCATCGACATATTATGAAAGTCGCGCGATCATCCTTGGACACTTTCGACGCTCTTTCACTCGCGATATTCGTTTAAAAACGGTTAAAAGACGCGAAAAATGCGGACGTACGACGATCCGTGTAACTGCGTATGACTCCGATTCACGTATGACGCGAATGACGTAGCAGTGACGCGTATGACGTAGCGATCACACGCTAACATGGCCGCCGAACCAGTGCGCAGAAACGAATGCGCACTGGTTCGGCGGCCATGTTAGCGCGTGATCGCTACGTCATACGCGTCACTGCTACGTCATTCGCGTCATACGTGAATCGGAGTCATACGCAGTTACACGGATCGTCGTACGTCCGCATTTTTCGCGTCTTTTAACCGTTTTTAAACGAATATCGCGAGTGAAAGAGCGTCGAAAGTGTCCAAGGATGATCGCGCGACTTTCATAATATGTCGGTGAAAGTGCGCGACAGCTATTTTTCACAGTTCAGTGATAGCGCGATCGCGAAGATGGAGCGAAGTCGCGTCGCGTTATTTGCGTCCTTGATGATGATTATCGGATGCGAGCGAATATCGGGAGTGCCGAATAAAGTGTCGCGCGTTCGCGTTGATGATATCGTGTGCATCAAGATCGGAATGGGACGTCGCCCGAGGCGAGCGAGTGGAGCGGCCTGTGGAACAGCCGGTGAACGGTGAGTAGATGTGATTTATCATATTTGCGTGACAATTCGTGCTCATTCGACGCTTATACAGCATCGCGATGTCCCGAATTACGTTCGAACAAATCGGCGCCGCATCATAATTCGATGCGATGCCGTGCAATTCAAATAAAGTCGATCGCGTGAAGATGGTTAGGCTAGAAGCGATTTCAAATTTATTTTATATACGCGCAGTGCTGCACAGCCTATCTCGTAGGGCTGCCAACTGTTAAGGTGCAATTTCATTGACGCTAAAAAGTAGCGTCAATGAAAAGACCGCTTTACACACTGAAAAAGTTGAAACTGTTTGAACTTTATTTTATTGACGCCATATCTAGAGAAAGTCTAGTGATTTTAATTTGCCGCTGGTTTCTAGCGTCAATGAAATTGCACCTTTAAGATGCGGCCTCATTGACGCTAAAAAGTAGCGTCAACCATTGGTTGAACAATGAAGCAACTATACTTACCTCCTTGTTCAACCAATGGTTGACGCTACTTTTTAGCGTCAATGAGGCCGCACCTTTAAGTTCGAGCTTGAAATGCTACGCAGCTATTTGATTGGTTGAATGAGGTCTTAAGTCAACCTCCAAGCAGACTTAAAACAATCTTAAATATAAGATCGGACTATGAATACCGGCCTTGATCTTCTCTCTGTTTCTAATCTTTCCCTGCTGCTACCAGCTGCTACTTTTCGATTATATTTATTATCTTTCTCATAATTTTTAATCGAGCAAGGGATGCACCAATCAAAATACGAGACTGCTCCTTATTTAAAGATCCCGCTGCAACCAGAGAAGTGCGCGACGTGTATCGCGATCATGCATCGCGATTATACATCGTGATCGAATGTCGAAAGTGAGAACCAGCTGAGATCGAGCAGATTTATCGCAAATTCAAGATAAATTTCACGTTTCAAGATAAATTTCAAAGAGGAGGAAATTCATCGTCGTACGAAAATTTATTTACGTGAGGAATTTGCGAATTGTCAATTGGCATCTTGTGTGACCGTCTTGTGATCGCGACGAAAAAAATATTTTCCATATTTCGAAAAATCAACAATTATATTCTCCCTTTTCACATCACATTCCTGAATAATCGAAAATGTCCACGCGACATATGAAGAAGATTTATGGCAGCGATGTAATTCTCGAGAAGGATTACGATGCGAGTGATGCCGAAATTTCAGTGACAAACGATACTAAGTCCAAGTCCTTCAACGTCTTTGATGTGGTATGTATTTTATATATATATATATATATATATATATATATATATATATATATATATGTCGTTCTTCCTTTTGGCCAGCGCTTTTCCAGATCTAAACGTTCAATCCGTTACATTATTATTATTAATATTTACATACAATTCTCTTCTTCGAATGATATTGATGATAAAACTTGTGTTTGCAGTTAAATCAGAGCTCTGACAATGATGAGCAGGATACTAGCGACAAGCAGGATGAGGATTCAGTTGTAAACTGCGATGCAAATTGCAATGATGCGAAACGTAGGAAGAAGACGAAAAAACGTAAGAAATTGGAAAATGAGAAAGCCAAGAGTCTACAACATGGTGTAGATTTTGATGAAGATGAGATTGAGCGAAGTGTATTGGAAGTGAACAAGTTACTTGGAGAGCCGCTACCGAGTTGTAGTAATCAACTTTTAGAACCGCAGTGGATTAATCAGAAGTCTAAAGAAAATATACTGACCGTACAGCATAAACACTTGAATCCATACAACGAATTAAAGAGAATATTTGGTAGTAAAACTGTACAAGCCGAGCAAAAGTATGTATCTGTAATTATATATATTTATATGTGCATAATTTCTGAATTATTAAAATGAGGAAATTTTATTCTCAGCAAAAGAAAAGGTAGAGGCCGTTTTGGACACTTGAAAAAGACATGGCTGGTTTGCCCACGAGATAATTGGCCGCCGATTGGTAAATCTGGATTAACAATGTCTTTGGATCATTCTATAGAACCTACAGAAAATGTACAGCATTTTGTATACGAACACAGTACTTCGTACAAACAGATACAACTTAGATTTTTGCAAGCTGTTGAAAGTTTAAATCCAGAGAACATAATTGTAAGTGAATATATAATATAATGATATTAGAGAATTTGTATAATAATAATTTGTAATATAATAATTGAATATTATATATCTTGTTTTACTTATAATATTCCATAATATACTTATAAATGTAATATACTGTGTGGAAAATTTTAACAAAAAAATATTTTTTAATTTATATTAATACAAATATTCATATGCACATAAATGTTAATACAAATTATTATATTTCAGAGTATAATAAACATACATTCTTACCATGTAGACGCTCTCCTCCAGATAGCTGAATTGTGTAAATTGAGTGAGGATTTACCAATGGCAGCAGAATTTATAGAACGAGCTTTATATTGCTTAGAATGCGCCTTTCATCCATCTTTCAATGTAACAACAGCGCAATGTAGATTAGATTACAAGAAACAACAGAATCGTGCACTTTTTATAACACTTTTTAAACACCTTGGATTTGTTGGTGGACGAGCTTGCTATAGGTAAACATCTTAATATATTAAATCTAAGAGAAGCTTAAAACGGAAAAATGAAAAAATTGTGTTAAAAATTTCAGAACAAGCTTGGAATTTTGTAAATTACTTCTGTCATTGGATCCTGAAGGTGATCCACTAGCAGTGGTCTTAGCCATCGATTTTTACGCCTTAAGAGCTAAGGAATACGAATGGTTTATAGAATTTTGTAATCTATGGGAAAGTTCCAGAAATCTAACACAATTACCAAACATGGCGTACAGCTTGGCATTGGCTCATTTTCGTTTGGGAAATAAAGATGATGCTGATACGCTTCTGCAAAATGCTCTTATCATGTTTCCAGGTGTACTGATACCTTTAATTGAGAAGTGTAATATACAAACAGATACTAAGGTATTATAGATTTAAAAAAAATGTTTTTAGAAAATTATTTTCTGAGAATCCAAAATTATATAATTATGAAATTACTATATTTAAATATTTTATTTATAGGTAATGTATCATGATTTTTTTAACTCTAAAGCTCAAGCTAGTACATCGCCAGCTCTAGAGAAGCTACAGAATTTGTATATAGCACGTAGCTTCCATCTCTGGAAAGAGACAGATATTTTACCATGGCTAGAGGAATGCGTGCATGCTGTGCTAAATCGAATTGAGTCTAAAGATGATTACATCAAGTATTGTCAAGTAAAGCGTAGTAAACGCTATCAAGGAAGATTACCGAAAAACATTTTAAGACACATTATATTAGCAGACATGAAGGAAGTTATAGTTAACGTTCAGGAGGTAATATTCTATATTGTACAATTTACCATGAAACATTATAAAGTTGTGAAAATTCATACATACATGATTTATTCTAGATACAAAACGAAGGTCCAGTGTTGTCACACGATCCATTACCACCAATAGACAGCATTGATATTTACAAGAGACCCACAGCAAATGACAGAATAGCTCAAAACAGTTCGAATTTTCTCTCTCTTTTCTTTTCTTCATTATTCACGGATATCGATGGCGCGGCTGCTGCTGGTTTAAATCTATTGTAAGTATACATAACAAGAATAAAATATAATAACTATAAGAAATAGAATTGTAATATTTATACTATCCTGTGTATTACTTATTTTCTCACAATTAAATTAAATTGTTTAGAGAAAAAATTAATTTACAGAATTACATATATCTATTATAAACAAAATTTGCAATATCATGTGATGAAAAATGTCAGATAATATTCATAATTATTTATTTGTTTAGCGAGGAGAATGATGACCATGCACAATAACTTTTCCTTGTGTCAACTTCATGGTAAGAAAACTATATGCGATTTCAATATATAACATACACTGGAGAGAATGCAAATAGTAACATATGATAACACAATAAAAAAATAATTTTAGAGTAATTGGATTTTTAATGTACAAAACAATAAAAATTTGCAATCTTTTTTTTTTTTATTTTTTTTTTTTTTTTTTTTTTTTTTTTTTTTTTTTTTTTTTTTTATAGAAAAGTTTTTAAATATCATATGTAATGCATTATAATATAGTATGAATTAAACGAAAGATCATTGTTATAAGGTTATTAACCTTATGACTTATGAATTTTTTTTAATTTTTTTAAATTTGCAATTAATATAGTGAAAATTATATATATATATATTATATAGTGAAAATTATATATATATATTATATAGTAAAACAGTAAATTCTGTATGCATTTCATATGTAAACTGTATACATGTATATATACCATGTACATTTATAAATGATTATATTAAATACAAAAAAAAACAACAATAGACATTATTAATTTCTATAATATAATCATATACTCAAGTTAGAAATTCAAGCATGTTACATGAATCTCTAAAAAGAAATACAAGAGATTGTTTCTTTGTAAATCAATTGAATTTTTGTATTTTTTTAATTGCATTTAACATCGTGTAAAAAAAAACATTATAAATGATAGTAAACATAAATTACAATATAATCATAAATGACAATATGCATTAAAAATAATTCGAATCGACGTTTCTCTCATTTATTATCTCTTAAACCATACTGTGGAACACAGGATTATAACGACAGATTCCAGGACCATATTCTTGGTAAGCTTTCTTTGTGTGGCAGACTGTGTAGAATTCTGGATCACTGGCCAATAATGCACCACCATACCATACCGCACAACGTTGCTTGTGATGCGATATCACACGAACGTCTATTGGTTTTGGCTACAATATATAAATGATGGTTTAATAAACCTAAAGTATTATTTCACTTAAACGAATTATCGTCATAATATTCGACATTCACCGTAATATGACTGCCGCTTAATGTTTCACTAAGCTTGAGTCGCGTGTCGACAATCTTCTTTATATCACGTTGCAGTCGCCTGCCAAAATCCTTGAACATGGTAGAACCGCCCGATAATACAATATTACTATACAATGGTCTTCTGACGTCGATTGGGCAGTTTTGAATCACGTCATCGACGATTTCGTTGAGTGGCGTCGTAAAATCCGGATTAGAAAACTGAAATATTCAAATGTAAGGAAATAAGAGATTGTGCAAAGTAACTTACAATAGTTACAAGCCTAGATATAACTTACTTCGGGATGGAAAAATATTTCCGGTCCAAGAAACCTTTCGTATCCGACGTCCACGACGAAAGGATTCTTGGTAATATTGTTAACACCTTCATATTTCTTAATCTTTGTAGGGTCGCTATCGTACTTGGCGAACTCTTTCGATATATCCGGGCATATATAACAATATTTCTCTTTAATTGACTTAGCTGTTTCTAGCGATTGCTCGGGTGGTATTCCAATCTCGCGTTCCCTCAATAGACTTTGTATAAAATAAGTAATATCACGACCAGCAATGGGAATGTGTTTTATACAACTTCCTATAACGAAACCCTCTGCCTGTGAAAATTCAATATATCGTCAGATCTGATGATAAAAATTTTAAGATGAAGTGTATAATGCAGATTGATATACGTACTACTGGAATCACGTGAGTTACACCATCCCCACTATCAACAACGACGCCTGTTAAGGTACGATCCTCAATATTCTTAGCTGTCCACGATGCTGCTAAAGCGAGAACAGCTTGTACAGCTATATAAAGTCCTGGCACATTGAATGACTCGAACATGATTTCTGCCGTATATTCTCGATTTTCTGGAGTGTTCAAGGGTGGCTCTGTCAAAAGGAAGTAATGATCTTCGGGTTCCGATCTAAGATACTTGAAAATGCACTGTTGTAAAAATTTCTCCATCAAGTCCCAATCCTCCACTAGTCCATGCCTCACAGGATACTGCGGATCAAGGATCAAGGTGGATATTTTAAGTACGAAAATGATCCTATCGAGATAATACTTTGCGAATAAATAATAATACTTTAACCGAGTATCCAGTGGCTTCAAAAGCCTCATCCCCGATATAGGCATCCAAGTCCTCCACACCCTTCGTAATCCTCCTGGCATTGTTATCACCAACTTTAGCTGTCTCCTTGATGGCGATCGCTGAAGGTATGGTCAGCTGAGGCTCCTTGTTGCCAGCAAATCCTAATTTCGTGTATCTGCAAGACAATTATTAACACAATCGATAATTGTGCTCCAATAGGAGATGTCAAGCGTGTTAATCATGCGTGGGCGAGCAATATTTTTACGCACATTGACGCAAGTCATATAAAAAAATTTTATTTAAAAATTACAATATAAAATTTTTTATTTAAAAGTCTATTTTATATGAATCGTCGAGAAGACGCGGTTTATCCTTCTCGAGGCGTTTATCTGAAGTATGTGTCATCAGTGACAGTCGGTTTCTAACCTGATTGACACCACCCAAAATTGACCGTTCGCTAGAAATTAATTTCCTCGGCCCAGAAAATCACACTTACCCTGTACCTACGTCGATGACACACGCAGGTAGACGTCCGAGCATGATTCCTAATTCGCTGATAAACCTGGTCCCGGAGAAACACACCCCAAAGACACACCGTGATGACGATACCGTCAAACCACCACGAACTAATGCCAATCAATATCTGTCAACGCTTGTCAATAGCACGTGTCTCACAGCGCACCTATCACCGCTCTATGTAACTATCCAATATCACTATTTTACCGACAACCGGAATGCAATCGTTCGATTAAGATGGATATATCGAGGAAGAAAATTTTTTTTTTATTTTATTTTCTTTCGATACAGGATTATTTTCTTTAATACAACAGTGAATGTAAAATATAATATGTAATGTAGAATGTAAAACAAAATATAAAACCAAAGAAAACTAAAAATATCTTAATTTTTTTCTCTCTTTCTTTGAGCAAATCTACATATATGACCAATATGATTAATTGATTCTATCTTTATATATTTATTATTACGTGCTATTAATTAAAGCCGTACACAGAAAAAAAATAAGTGTCAAAACTTATATACTTAAACTAACGCATTCATTGTTTCATATATACACAACAATTTATAATTTTCTTAGAAGAATTTAATAATTTTAAATTTTAACAATATTATCGTCTTATTTTAATATTGTAATTGCCATTTCAAGAATATATAATTATTTAATTCTACTTTAAGAAAATTATAATCTTTAATTTAAAAATGTTATTTTCTATCTACATTCTTTCTTTTTCATTCAAGAAAATTAAATCTTAAACCATAAGATTATATTTTTCTTGATTAAACTATATAAAATGACCTCATTCAAGTAAGCAATTATTCAAGCAATTATATTTTTCATTAATAAACGCAATATAATCTCATTTCAAAATTTCCATTTTAAAACTAAATATATTTTTAAAACAAGAATGTCCTTTTAAAACAAGAATGTCCTTTTTTTCGAGACAATATTCCGAAATCAAAGTCGCGCGAACGTCGAGCGTACTAATGGCCATGCGCAGAAACGAATGCGCATCGGTTCGGCCGCCATCTTAGTCGCGTCATTGCATACGTCATACGTAGGTCGGAGTCATACGCAGATACGCAAAATCGTCGTACGTCCGCATTTTTCGTGTCTTTTAACCGTAAATAAACGAATATCGCGAGTGAACGAGCGTTGAGAGTATCCAAGGATGATCGCGTGACTTTTATAGTATGTCGATGGAAGCGCGCATCAGCTATTTTCGACAGTTCTCAGCGACAGCGTCATCGCGAAGGTGGAACGAAGTTGCGTCGCATTATTCGCGCCCTTGATGACGATTATTGGATGCGAGCGAATATCGGGAGTGCCGAATAAAGTGTCGCACATTCGCGTTGGTGATATCGTGTGAGTTGTGTGCATCAAAATCGAAATGGGAAGTCTCGAGGCAAGCGAAAGGAGCGACTTGTGCAACAGCCGGTGAGTCGATTTAATTTATTATATTTGCGTGACAATTCGTGCTCGTTCGACGCTTACACAGCATCGCGATGTCCCGAATTACGTTCGGACAAATTGGCGCCGCATTATAATTCGATGCGACGCGATGCAATTCAAGTAAAGCCGATCGCGTGAAGATGGTAGGCTAGAAGTAATTTGAAGTTCATACTTTGTATATGCGCGCGTAGTTCTCGCTCAGCCTATCTTGTAGGGATGCCAACTGTCGATATTGTCATATCTTGATACATCTAAACGATAATTTTACCATGAATTTTACCATATGCTTTTAAAAATAATATTTAATCATTAGTGTAATACATTTTATTACATAGTACATTAATCATACTCTTTTATAATATTATAAAGAAGATAAAAATTTAGGCACATTCCAAATAAATTTATACATCTTATGTATAAATTTATTTGGAATGTGCCTAAATCTTTATCTTATTTATAATATATTATAAAATATATATTATAAAAGAAAATTGCAAATCTTATGAAACAGAGCGCTGGAATAATTGGTTGATACTTACGCTGGCCTACAATATTACTAATTTTTATATCTTTTATATTATAGCATTTGTATTACCGACATTTTTGCACCTAGCACAGAACAGAACCACAATTTCTGTAACGTGTTATCCATTAAGAAACTTTATGAAAATGACTATGTAGTTCAATGTCTACGTTTTATATATAGAAGTTCTTTGAATACGAGTTTTAAATCGAAGGCATAAGACCACTCTCAAGCTTCTCTCTCGTACAAGCACCTATGCAAAATGTCCGTTTTCATGCTGTATTTTGGTTCTGTGACAGGAACTAGCCGCCTACGCACGTGCGTAATTTATACGAGGACATAGAACTGTGTTTGTGTAATTTTGTAATCAGAGGAACTGTCAGAAACAGTGGATAACGATGCAGTTAGTATTATTGATAATATTGAATATAATTTATTATAGATCTTTCTAATTTTTTATCTTGTAATTATATTTGCGAGGAGAGAATCTTCTTAATTTAAGATGTATAATGATGTAGAAGGTTAACGAATATGTGATCACGAATACGAAATCGTTTAAACGATTATGGATAAGGATTTGTTAAATCCCAGGTGTTGAAGGCATGGCTCGAATCAGCTGATTGACAGTTTTATTTTTCGCTGTTTAGGAAAATCCAATTTGATGGAGTACATGAGATATACTACGAAGCATTGATATACTCATACTTGTAAAAGAGGATCTAATGATCATGCGAAGGATGCCTTCTGAAATTTTTCTAGGAAATGGAGGAACTCTACATCGTTCCTTGATGTTTATACTGAAACTCGGCTGGCAGTCAAGATTCCGTTTGCCAGTACTTCTAGTTATTGTATTTGTCGCCATGGATTACAGATTACAATTAGAGATAGAATTTGGAGACAATGCAGACCAACATAATCACTTATAATATGAGCATAAAAGAAAGAACGGATAGATGCATAAGACTGTTTCTTTATATATTTCTTCATATATTTAACATATGCATATATGATGTATTATAAGGTTTAAATTATAAATATAAACTGTATTTAATTAAACATAATGTAATATACAAACTGTTGAAATGTTAGCAATTGTATTATACATACTTTATAAGCACATAACATACATGAAATTTTTTGCTCAGTACTTGTCAATTTTTAATGCTTATACTTCCGCCAAACTGATATTGCATTTGTCATAATAGAATTTAAGAACTTTACGTTACATCTTATTATAATATATCATGAGAACACATGTATGCTTTCAAGTTAAGTTTATGATTTTATTACAAAAGAGAATAGTGATATAAAAGAAAGAAGTTAGAAAAAAGATAAGAGAGAGAGAGAGAAAGAAAAAAAAAAGATTGTATTTAGAAAATATCTGTGAGATAAATTAAAATTATACCTTAATTAATTAGATGACTGATAATTGAGATACTTTTAGAAAATTAAATAGCTAATTAAAAGTTAATGCTTATAAAATATAAAATTAGATTAAAAAAAAAATCTTTAATTGTTTATATATAAGTATATTATATTTCCTATCTATGATTTCCTGATTATTAAGATAAAAGATAAAAAAAAGATAGAGCAGCGATAAGAGAAGGATTTATATTTATTTGTTTCGCATATGGCTGTAAAATAAATTCTTTCTAACAATAAGATGTAATTTGATTGACATATAAATACTAATATACTTTTTATAAATTATATATTTTGTAAACGCGCTAAAATAGGACAATTATTTATTTTGTAATTAATTTTTATACATTATATGAATGATGTAACATGAAAGTTGTGTTATGAATAAATAAACAAGAAGTAATTTATTTTAAAAATTATACATTAAAAATTCTCACTCTTTTAAAGAAAAATATATCAAAGGAAATTTCAAATCAAAAATATTTGTTGATAAATTTATATAAACGCGATTAAAAAATTAATTTATGATTTCTATGTAATTGAACATTTCTACTTTGCTTTAATTGTTTTATTATTTTAATTTTTATTAATATTTTTTATATTAATTTATATTCATTAATATTAATAAAGTATTTTTTATATTAATTTATATTAACTACCTATAAATTAATATTATAATATATATAATATATTAATTTATATATTAATTATATATATTATAAATATAATTATTCATAAGATATCTTATTCAGTTATTTATTATTATTTTTTATTGTAATGCATGTTTTTTTTTTGTGAAGAGAAAGAAATCTCTTTTTTCTTCTCTTTCTATCCTTCTCTTTTTCAGGACACTTGAAAATAAACCCCGTAATTATGTATACGCGAGATAAAATCAATAATCACTTTTTTTAATTCAGTCAAAGTAAGCTTGGAAGAGATTGAATTCCTCGTAGGTGGTTGTGGGGAGCCGCGATAATCCACGATAGTCCCGGAGGACACTTTTCCTGTCAGGATACGTCCGACTTATGAAGAAAAAGTAGTACCGCGTGTTCTGGCATCCGATTCGTTTCAGGAGCAACATGCTTTCCCATCGATGAAGAAAAAGCGATCGACGATAAATTTCGTTTAGTTTACTCGATGTTTGTGGACATAGTGTGGGAGCTCTAGTGGGGGTCTAGTAGGGTTTATATAGACTGTGCGAAGAGACGTTATCGGTTTTTCTTCACAAACGCGTCCCAATGGAAACTAAAATTGCAAGATTTTCCAGTGTTCTCGGGATCTTCCTTCTGTTCGCCTGCTTCTTGCAAACCGAAGCGGCATTTAATCCCGAAAGTTTCGGTAAGTGAGTTAATCATATCAGAAATAGAAATATATACGTGAGTGTCGGGATGTTTTTCGAATTTGAAAAGGAGTTTTATTCGATTCAAAATATGTTATTTCACGATGTTTCAAAAAGTCGAAACGTATTTGTTTTGCTTCTTGTTCTGGTTTTTATTACACTCGAACGTTAGAAGCAACTTATCTAAGTGTGAAAATCAAATAATTATAGAACAATGAAATGTACAATTGCAGAACAAAAACTATTAGCCTTAGATAAGGTTCTCACTTACATTAATGATAGAACAGAGCAAATGAACGTGGACGTCACTTATGGCGTTACTTTAAGTGAAGGTAAAGAATTTCTTTCTAATTATATTGCCAATTAAAACTGTAATAATCGCATATTTTTTGTAAAATGTCTAATTAAAGTAAGAGGCTTCTAAAATGTGAAGCTTTAATTATGTAAGATACTTTAAATTTTACCAGAGATGTATACAAAACAAATATATGTAATATACTATATTTAATATATTTAATATAAATTTCTAATTTAATTTAATGTGATATTTATAAATTTTTAATATAAATTTAATATAAATATTTAAATTTCTGATTAAATTGAATGATTAATTTCTTGAAATAGTTAACTTGATGGCAGCACTTAACAATGATAATATACAATATTTGGAAAACAAATTCTTTGTTTTTCTCAAAGAAATGCTCATGTTATCCGATTTTACTCGAAGAAATTTGATGAATAATGTTGTCCCGACAAGCGAGATCGAACTTTCGCGTAAGTAGATGCACAATGTGAAACGAATAATAGTTTGCTTTTTACTATATTTTACATACATACATTTTCTATACTTAAATGATATGTGTGATGCGTAATAAATAAGTATTTCAAAAGAGATAAAAAAATGAAAATAATAAAAAAATGTAAGAAAGAACGAGCTCAAAAAATGCTAAAATTATTATTTTCAATTGCATTCTAAAAGTAGAACATTTATAATAACTAATAAAGATATTTATATATTATTTACAATAATATGTAAATACGTTACAATAAAATATGTAAATACGTTAATTATAAAGTTAAGAAAATTGAATTTTTTTATGAGAAATTAATTCAAATTTAATTCTTAATTTATGTCTCTCTTATTTAAATATTACTAGAAAGTTGTTATCGATTAACGTTTTTTATCGATTACCAAATTCGAATACATTAAGTCTTCCTAATCGAATATCACTAAGTTCTTCTATCGATCAGTATATCTTGTGTCGAGTTTTGCGAGGTACAAAGTTTTTCAGTGCAATCGGGTTTAAACAATGTTAACTTGTGGATAAAACCTATATGGTGGACGAGGATCTTTCCAAAAAATAAACCCACTCCCAATTGGGGATTAAGCTATGAGCAAGTCATCGAATCCATTCAACATGGATGGCCAAATGAATTCAACAGCGATCAATGTTTGTTCAAAATTATGCAAAGCGGTTTAAATAAGAAGTGTAAAATTCCTCAGACTTGCACCGAAGGATTGATCAAGCATGATAACGTTACAGGATATTCTCTCACTCATAGGTTGCTTATAATCCAAACCGCTCAAAGAGTAAGACATTAATGGAAGTTTTTATTATTAATTAATTTTATAAAAGATATCGCGTGTTTGTGTGTGGCAAAAGATCTTAAATTATCACTTGAACTTTTATATTTTATTTATATTTGTTTGATTGCATATCTTATTGAAGTGTTTATTAATACTTTTAAATGTGTAAGCATTAATTTAATATATTTTCAATTATATATATAATATTCTTATTATTTTATATATTGTATACTTATTGTATATTACTTATAAAGAGAAAACAATTATTTTTTCTTATATCTTTCTCTTTCTGTTCATGTTTATGAAAAAGAAAGTAAAATAAAAATTTCTATACGAAATAAAAATTCCTATCGGTTTTAGTTTGGATGTCAAGAGACTGCATCGTTGCCATTTTCATATTTGATACCTGCGTTTTGCGCCAGAATTTTTCAGGACCTCGTTAATCTTGAAGCGTGGAATTTCCCAAACGTCTCACAAGACCTCATGATTGAACAAAGTACGCATATATACATAAAAATATATTATATAAACTAAATAAGATGTAAAATATAAAAAATAATATTTCGCATCAGATGAGTAGAATAAAGTGAGAGTACAAAAATGTTCATTAAATAAATTGCTTTTTCTTATTTTTTTTTAGTTATTTTATGCGGAATGGAAGGCTATTATGAATTTCTCGATAAACATTATGAGGATTTGATATTAAGCTGGCCTCATTGGAGCGGTTGCTTTAAGTTAGAAAGGTGATTAATGATAAATATATCTTTATTGATGATTATATTTAAATTATATAATTTCATAACACTCGATAACATAATTATTAATTACATTTAATTGGCATAAAATATATTAGAATTATAATATATATATAATTGCATAATCGTGTGTATTAGAAGTATTATAAATATAAATATACCACATAATAATTGTACAATATACATATATCAATTTCAGTTCATAATTATATTATTTATACATATATTGTCTAATGTATTAAAGGCTAGATATATACTTACCAAACGTTATTTTGCGAAAAACACGAGATGAGTATTATGTTAAACGTTTCAGAATTTCTGAGAAGCTCAAGATGACTCCGCGAGCGTCATCATTGACTGACTTCGGATGTAATAATCATATGACAAGTCTTGGCGCGGCGAGCCTTGCTTTATTTATCCGAGAAAATATAGAAAATGAACTCGGTCCTTAAAGTTTCAAGAAGATTTTCTTATCAAATGCTTATACTTTCTTCACAAATCTGATTCTCTTCATTAAATTCTTTTATTAAGATGATAATCGTTTGATTAAGAAATAGCCAATTTATATTGCTTAAAAAATATTTAACTGATATTTTTTGAAACAAAACATGCGAAAAATGTATGTCGTAAAAAGAAATTCTGAAAAAAGTTATGCAATTATCAGGGCTGTAACGCATTCTACTGTGTGACGAAAAGAAAATAATCTATATTTATCATAAATAATATTATAAGACAAGAATATTTGAAATATGGCACGAAAGGGAAAAATGAGAGTAAGAGTTTAAAATAAAATAAAGTATAAAAATTCATTCTTTATAACAATGTTAGGATATTTTATATCTTGCTGCGATAATTTCGAAACTCTATTTCTTATTACTATTGTTACTTTAGTAATCTCAATAAGGCAGTATTTTTTCATATTATAAAAAAATAGTATTACTATAAATTTATAATAAATTTATAATAAAAATTATTATAAATTTATAATAACAAATTTATAATAACAAAACAATTTTGATATTAGTTTGCTAATTATCTAGCTATCTCCCTTTTTCTAGTTTAGATAATAAAAATATAGATAATAAAATATAGATAATAAAAATGATAATATTATAATAAGGGAGATAATAATCTCCCTGCTTATATATGTATATATATATTACTTGATATTTAACTTAAATAAAATAAACATTATTTTAATTAATTAAATAAATACTTAATTTAATTAATAATATACAAAAAGCGTGTTTCTTATATATATGTTGATTAATAATTACATATAGAAAATTTAACTGTGTAGCCGCTTGAAAATAAAATTCTTTAAAAGTATGATGTTATATGTGCCTGGAGAGAAATAATAATGATATTAAAAAAATAAAAAAAATCTATTTTAATATGTAAGCTTATTTTACCATAGATTGTGGGATGCATTTACGAAACAACACATCCGGTCATATAAATTGAAATATGTATCGTGCTTTGGTATGAGAAAAATAAGCTGCGCGATGGATGAGTATATCTCTACGCGATGTTATTATAAAGATCTACGAGAAGATATATTTTCATGTCATTTCGCCTCCGCTCTATTTCTTGTACAATTTATTGTACGATAAGTTGCGATTATGTGTAAAAAAAACAGGTCATTTTTTTAAACTATTCATGATAACGACGTAGTCATTGTTTTAAACTATCCATGATAATGACGTTATCATTTTACATTTTCTAAGGTCGTTCTTTAGTGAACCAGGTGGATACGCGAAAGCAACATGAATCATCACAAAATTGCAAAATTGCAATCGACTATCGATTCGATATGAGCTTGTATTGAATGATATAATGGATCCACTTCGCAGACGAGCTGGACTCCTGTAATCGCGCAACCATTCATTCAATTCTTCTCTCATGGCCTTCGGTAATTATATGGTTTTCCATAAGGACCCATTCTTTTGTTCATTTTCTCGATTCCCAGTTCTTGAAAATAACTGTACACCACCAGCCACATGTATGTGTATATCACTGCAAGAAGATCCAAAATAATATTACAGAATCTGCTTATTTATGGATGTAATATTAATTTTTTACGTGTAAATCTTTGGTTAAAAATAATTGACTTTCATGATTTATTTTATAATTTTTTATAATTAATATTATTATTTAAATTATATTAATGTATTTTTATCGTCATTAAATTAAAACTCATTCGAATGAATATTTTCGAAATTAATGAATCATTAATTGGATGAAATCTTAGGACTATCTAAATTCATATTTGAGACGAGAGAAATCTTAAATATAAAATTTCAACTATAAATATGAGCTCAATTTTCATGAAACTTTTTTGATCGATCATCGGATCAGTTTAAAAAAATAATTTTCTTCGAAATAATATGTTTTTGTTATTAAGGTCTTACAGTTGCATTTATGTTAGATGATTGATGTTAAGTACTCACCGACAGCAAGTATACCGAAGAGAAGCCAAAGAACACCGTTGATAACTTCGTGCTTTATGAAGAACATGATCGCGGTATAAAGGATGCTCACAAGAAGGCCGATGACCAACATTATACCCAGGACCACCCATGGCAGCATCATAAATGTATTTTTCTGCAAATTATTATTATTAGTTAGTATTATTCCTTTAATTAAATTTTCCTAAATTAAATTTTGTGTAAAATATATACATACTTTCACATAGTGAATATATTAAGATACAATATGTGCTAGTAATATATAAGGTATATAAAAGCTGTATTTATATTTTGCATCATTAATTTTTTTTTAACAACATTCTTTTTTAATTTTTTTGGAACAAATTTTTCATGCAAAAAATTTTTTAATCTTGTATTTGATGACTTTTCATATGTTTCGTAGCTTAATACGAGTCTCTCGTTATTTAAATTCTCCTACAAAATTTTTAGTTATCGAGAAATATTTTCTTACTTTTAAGGCGCCGATTATGAGCAGCGTAGAGATCAGGATGGTCATGCAAAGGTTGATCGCGAAGATGATCTTCACGGTCGTTTTGTCCAAAATGTCGATGATTATTGTTTTCCATTCTACGTTCGCCGTGAAGATCAAAATTAAAGAAATGATAGCGAGCACCTATGCGAAAAATTTACATAACATTAAATCGCATAACTTAAAAAATACACGAACGATAGTACTTACGATTCCGCATACTCCGCTAAAAATCGTTCCCGTTTTCAGGGAACAACATCTGCAACATGTTCTCAATTGTATACTGAAAGGAGAGAAACAGCGAAATTAAATTTTATCGAAATAACATAATAACATAAATTATTAATAATATTTAATTACTATAAATGATTAAAAATAAATTATTTATCGCTGTAAATATAATTTTTTAAAAATATTATTTTTAATAATTATTTTTTATTAAATCATATTCTCTCTCTCTTTCTTAAATATGATAGGCATGCTTTACAAATTTCAAGAAATTCAAAGCAGCTGAAGAATAATTAAAAAAGAAAAAAGAAGATTAAAACAATATTTTCTGCAATCGGTTTTTTTAGAAGCAGAGAGAAAAAAGTAAAAAAGCTTCGAAACAATTTTTATGTTCCTTTTCAAGACTATCTCGATCAAAATAGATTCCAATACGATTCACATAATTCTGTCATAGATCTGCCACACCCGCACCTCACCCACTAATCCCAAGCGGTGACGTAACGAAGGCGAGTTACGGAATATTGGGCGATGATGCGATGGTATCTCATATCGCGACCTCATGTACGCAAAGTTAATCTTCGAAAATAGGGGAAATTTAGGTCATTGGCACGTGTCGCGCGCTCGCGCCTATTTTAGATACTTAAGCGAAACTCGCAAGCAGACTCGCGCTGACCTTTCTTCCGGCGTTTATTATTCCTCCGACACCCGGGAGATCCGGGGAAGATGGATACATCCGTGCAAAATAAACGCACGCAGATGCACATACGATAACAATAAAGTTTACTAAGCATCGCTCTTCTTTTTTACAATGATTTCAGGTGGAGTCATTGATGAGCCATAAGCATAATTAGCATTTTTAAACGAATACAAGTTGGACTCGATATCGGAAGACTCGCGATACATTCTTGCGTTCTCCGGAAATCGGCCAAGATCATCGTCGTGACGAAGGTTCAGCTCGAGGCCTTCCGATTCCCAATAAGGAAACGCGTCTTACTCGGTCCTATGTCGTTCTCGCGAATTCTCTCGTTCACCTCGAGCGAGTGAACAAAACTATCACGTCACCGATCGCGTTTAAGATCACCTTGGTGATTCACCTTCGCGAATCGACGATTGTACTTGACCGATGATCTTGGGAACACGACAGAAAAAGACTTTAGGACGTTAAGCTCATCTTGATTCTCGAAATGTTAAAAAGGAGAGAGAGCGAGAAATCGATTTACGTGAATGAAGAGATCGCTTTTTGTGATCTTTGAAAATTTCAGGTGATGAGGCAAATTTAAATGGAAAAACTCTTTCCATTAAAAAGGCTTGAGACGTTAAGTGAAATGATCGTAATCTAGATGATGTCAAAATTCGTAAAGAATTTCTGCTTTTATAAGTCTCTTCTTCTAAGTCAAACTAAACCGGTTTTGTTCGATGAAAAATCATTGCATGTGTGCGAGAATTTTACATGAATCTCTGATGTTATAATTAACGATGACATCAAGTAATAATGATCTTTGACATTCCGTTGTAAAAGATTCGAGATATCTCTCTCTCCAGAAAATGTCTTTGAAAAGAATCGAAATGTGAAAGTTCTCAAAACTACAATTATACAAGATATATAGTTGTATGTCCACTATAGTAGAGAATGAACTTGCTGTTACTCATAAATGCATCCCGGAAGAGCACTGCACTATGCACTGCTGAAAGGGCGATTCTATCCGGCTCGCGCAAAAAGGGATTACGTCATTACACAGAGATCACTGTGAGTGATTCTTTCCGACGAAAGAATGATCGTTTTAAATGTTAATATCCTAAGAGAACATTTTTTTATGTGGTGCGTGTCTTTAGACATTTATATATATGCCAATTATTGATGAAAATTATTAAATTATCAAATTAAATTGAATTAAATTAAAAAATTTAATTTAAATTTAATTAAATTTAATTATTAAATTAAAAAATATTAAATAAAAATGTGAGCTATTATATTATTTTGTATTTTTGAATAATTTATATAAATATTTATTTATTTATTTATTATATGTGTATACATATTTTTTAATTAATGTGTGCCTAATTTTGGATTTTATACATTCTATTTTTAAAACAAAAGGGAAAAATAACATCTAATTAACATCTAATGACGTTGACCTACATTTATATTTCAAGTGCGATACATATAAAATGTGAATGTGACGTCAAATGTTTGTCATACTTGGAATATATGTACTTATGTATGCATTTGTGCGTAACTGATGAAGATAAGAAAAAAATTTTTGCTGAAAACAACCTCGTGAGATCGACTCGGATACAATTGGCCCGTTGCATGCGGAATTGACGTTAAATTTAGGCGGTGAGTAACCCAAGCGCAAAAAAACGTTGGTTAAAAATACACAATACTACTCGATAGGCCCGTCACTTCAATATTGTTTTTCTCGATCTAGATATATATTTAATCAAGAATGAAAGAAAAAAGGGATGATTTCTGGGGGAGATCTTTCGCGTGCATTTTATTTGATTCCACGATTAATATAAGAAAGAGGTGCGGCCTTAGGACAAGAATGAAGAAGATCAATATTGTACAAGCAAGTTTAGGTAATCTCTATAATTTTTTTGCACACATCGACCTCTTAAGATTTTCTTTCGTAAAAAAAAATTAATTTTTTTAAGATTTTTATTATTTTATTTCTAGAGAGAAATACATGGTAATATTTTTTTTATGAAAAATATTCCACGAAATATTGAACATTTCTGTTGCACACGAACATATGAGAAATAACGATAAGAAAAGCTATTTAACGAGGAAAAATATGACTATAAAAGATAATTTTTTTTAAATTGAAACACTTATTATCATCATTTTCTCTGGAAATATTCAAATATAAGGTTTTTTTATATGCTTATCTTGTTTATTAATTTATATATATAATTTATTTATATATATCTGTTATTTTATGATTTTTACACGAGTTGCACTGTGTTGAAAAGTCACATCGAATCAATGTTTACAAAATTTTATCGAGCCTTTCGCGTTAATTGCGTCAGTAAGTCATTATGCGATTCCGCAAATGTCATCCCGTGTCAGTGTTTACGAATGCGAAGAGTGTCAATGCCAAATGATTTCCAAGTACAATGGATATGAAAATGCACTAACACGTGATAAGTTATACACGTATATTTACGAGGCACGTGAGCGTTTAAAACACGCTGTATACAAAATTGCGAGTATTTTATTTTTATACTTTAGTCACGCACGCGACCTTCTTTTACTTCCTCTAGAGTTTTCAGTTTCTTGAAATTTGTAATTTTTGCGAATAATGTTTTCGAGGTCGACGAAACTGGAAGAAGATCTAGAAAATGCCTTTCACCTATTTACGCTTGATTTTAAATAGGATACATTCTTGTTTAATCAAAATTGTATGACTTATAATAAATTGTAACGCTCTAAAAATATAACATTATTAAATTAAATTAACTATATTTATTATAATATTAATAAATATCTTAAGTAACACTTATCGAGATACTTATGTGTGCACATGCGTAAAGTAGGAACGAGGTGCCTTCACAGGCGCGATTGATAAATCGCGATGGCGTACGATCGTAATAAACTATTACAGCGCTATAAAACTCTCCGAAGTAAAGTATGATCGAGTTACATCACTACCGGAGCCACCTTGTTTACTCGCTGTCTCGGTATCTGGGTACCTCGCTTGTCATAATCTATCATTCACTTTCAATTAATGCTCGTCAAATCCCTTACATCGCACTCATTAACAGCACTTGGACCTCCTGTCAATCCAGCTGTCAAATGTCACGTTGATTCGCGAAGGCGGGTATCGCATACTCACTTCATCTCGGGGCGAGATCTCCTTTCTTGTGATCGATCGCGCCGATCTAGGGATGCTGAGGAGACGCGAGGCTAGACTAGAGATACGAGGTGGAAATCGTCCGCTCGCGATAGGAGATGATCAGAAACTGTGCCAAGAGCGCGCGCGGCCAACCGCGCCAAACCGCGGATGGTGTACACCTACGACAGTCATGTACACACCTACATGTCGGTGCCTTGGTGCCACCAACACCAAGTCGGCGTAAATCTGTGTCTGTGTGTTTGTGTGCACGTCTTGTGTGCGCTACCGCGACTTACGCGAATGGCATATATCGCGGATGGAGAACGCGAGGGGGAGGAGGAAGAGGACGGGGGACTCTTGGAGAACGGACGCGATCGCGCTTTTTATACGAATCGCCAGCGAGATCTTACGAGAGCCCGCTCTCTTGACACTCTCTGGTAAACAAGCTGAATGTAACCGCTTCTCGAGGATCTTTGATCTTCATATCCGTCACGCGTCTAACCGAGAAAGTCCGCGTTTTGCGTCGCGGATTCGCGTCTTAGATCCGCGTTAGAGTCTCTCCCGATCGCGGTCGTTAACTTAACGCCAGATGAATTTAATGGAGTAGAAAGTAGCTCTTGATGATGTTTGCTCCGATTTTTGAAATAAAATTTCACAAATATTTATTCTTATTCGGGATAAAATATTCCAAGTCCTGGTTATCTTAAAACTTCCTACAGAGACTTTCAGTGAAATAGAATAAGCCCGAGAGTTGCGAAAGTGTAACACGCATTCACGAGGTCAAGAGTGAAGTAAAAAGGTTTCAATGTTTTTTTAGAAACGTGACTGAATTATTATAATGATTGCATCAACACAGAAAGAAAGAGATTATTTTATAAAAATCGCAAGTTGACACATGTAAAATAAATTTACCGAGTAATATATGATGCATAATTAATTATATTATTATATATTATTATATTATTATATATTATATATTATTATAGCGTAGCATAATATTCTAATTTCTACGATAAGTTATCCAGAGGAAAAAGCTAAAACAGCTGAGAAACTGCGCTTGTTAGTTTGCACACGTCGAGCGACCTCGAGATAACATTTTAAACCAATTGACATTGCCACTATATTTGCGCACATAGGTAATGAACGGTTTTACACACGCTATTCCATATCTCGGTATGTAATTAAAACGCTTGGTCCAAGTCCGACAATTCGCGAAAGTGCAAACATTGCATTTTTTCCATGCATATAAGCAGAGATATATTTTTATTATCTGATTTATATCAGAAGCTGCCCCTACAAAGTTCATCACTAAAATTAAAAATAATAATTGGATTCAGTTAAATATTTCTAGCATCTTCGTATTTGAAAATTAAATAAATTGTTACAACTTTGCAAAACAGTTATAAAAAGAATAACAATAATTTTTTCATTTACTATTTTTTTAAAAAAGTATATAGGATAGAATATATATGAAAATAAAATTTGGAATATAATTTGAAATAAAATTTAAAAAATTGGTATATATAAAACAAAAAAATTCATAATTATAATTAATAGACGAATTATATATATCTCCTTTAAGATGATCTTGATACAGAAGTGTTAAATCAGTTGCAGGCTTTCAGGCTTTCATAAATCGCTCTATTGTACAAATGTTAAAGAGATATCTTTTTTTATTTCGTAAATATAATTTCTCCACATTTCTCCACATTTATTTGTTTTTTATTTAAAATGTTGAAATCTTTTGAAACAGATTTTTAAAATTTTTAATTGAATTTTTAATGTATGTGAAAATGAAGAAAACGAAACATCGAGATTTTACATTCATTCATCGATAGCGCATAAACGTGCAGTTGTTCTGTCTACTTAACCTATTGGGTTAAGTAGACTACTTTTATTACAAGAATTTTCGTTAATTAGAACAATGCAAAATTAAAAGCGTCAAGTCAAGAAATGATCGTAAAGTCGAAAAATAAGCTTGAGATCGAATTAATCTCGGAGCTCTGGCTACGCGATGTCTGTCTTTGCGTCTTTAGAAATACAAATAATATCAATAAATGTCATAAGTTTGGTAAGTATCTTGGCAATATTAGGTCTCGTAATCTCGTTTGTAAAATTTAAGAAAATATTATTTATATAAAATTATCTTTTTTTTTATAAATTTCTTACAATAAAAGTTTTCTGAAAAATTATTAAAAAACTTATTTTAACGTGCACATTTAAATTATAAATCGCGTTGCAAATTTGTCAACAATTTCAATTTGTATAATTATCGCAATTATCCAAATTATATATTGCTATTAAGAAAATTATAAATAAAATACAAATTAAAGCGCAAGATATTAGACAATAATTACAAAAATTGGATGTTATATTTAAAATTTCAACACTTGCGTTTCATTTGCTTAACTTAAATTAATTATTTTGCATTTTAGATAGGCAGCATTTGGAGCTGGTTCAAGTGGGATCAGCAGCTAGAAAAGATTTCAAACTTTTCAGTTTCCGATAATTTAGACGTAAAAGATATCGATTGGCTTAAAACGGGTTAATACTTTACTTTGTATAGACCGGAGATATAGTTTTTTTATATTAATGTTTCTCAAGAATATTCTTGTAATGTTAAAAACAGAAATTAAAGATGAAAACTCTCTTCAGTTCTATCGTGGATCGTCCTGATTCGGTTTATCATCAACCGCATCTCGCTTCTTGCATACATAGTTAACATTTGCACGGTAGCGACACGAAGATGGCAAAACTTGCTTATATTTTGGATGGTGCTCAGTCTTCTAAGAGACGTTGTTTTGGAAATCATCATCATTATCATTGCCTTCTTACAATGGCATAAGGGAAGCGTTTCGACGTGGCTCTTCGTCGGGTTTATCACAGAAAAAATATTTTGGCTGGGTAAATAAGAAAATTTAATCAAGGAAGACAAGAAACATAACATAATACTTATATGAAAAATAGGCTTTTCTTATTTGAATTGATGACTTTTGCGCTAATCTTTCCAGCTATTTCGATTTGCAAATGGCGGACAGTTCTCAAGTGGTACATGCGACTGCGAAGAGAGATGAAAATTCGCATGTTCGCGAAAATTGCGCGGAGAAGCATCGCGAATCTCGTTAATATTCCCGGAAGAATCGGTCATTCTCTAGACGACGAATGTCTCGATATAGCGACGATCAGACGGAACAAGTACGCGAATCTACTTAAGCTTTCGGAGAAATCTTCTAACAAGATCAACTTTGGTTTACGAATTTCCAAATCGTTGACGACCTTGGTTACCAACGATGACAGTCACGATTCGAACAATACGAACGGTTTTAATGCTAATGACTTGAGCGTGGCAGAAAAATCGATGAGGCTGCTGGGTATAACTGCGGAGGATGTGATGGACGCGTGTGCCAGGATACAGGAGCGATCCTACTGGAGTGCACAAGACGAAATAACGAAGACTCCCGAAGCGATGGAAGAAGCAGGTGCAATACAAATTTCCTTGGAAAGAGATGAAGAAGAAACGGATGATGTCTCAAGAAAAGAAAAGAAAGAAAAAGAAGAAAATATGAAGAAACCTGTAGATCGTATCTTGGAAAAGAAAGACGTTGCGAGAGATTCTCAGATAGAAAAGGACGAAAGAAAAGATGAGAGAGAAGTTAATGATATTTCAAGGAGTAAACAGACGACAATAGACATAGAAAAAGCTGTGGATTATAACTTGATGGAGGAAGTCATTATACGAAGTTTTCAGATAGAAAGAGAAAGAGAGGAAGAAGATAACAAGATCGATAAGAAAGAACAGACTTTGATTGAGAAAGAGCAAAATGGTTCATTGACAAAAAGTGGAGATATTACATCCGACAGCCTAGATAATCGCGTGAAATCAACGGAGTCTCATAAGCTTCAAGAAGACGTATCATCAAGAAGGAGAAAAAAGGAAGAAGAAGCGGAGAGGCCTGCAAAAATTTGTCCTTTGTCTTCTGTCCAGTGCAAAAATGCGAGAAATATGGAGGTCAAGCCATGCTCTTCTCTCGTGAGGAAACTAGAGACGAAACTTCGCCCTATTTCTACAAATCAGAAGGAAAAGTGGTTCGACCAACTCGAGCGAAGAAACTCTTATCGAATGAAATTAACGCCAAACGGTTCTGATAAGAAGGAACATAAGAACTCGAGGACGTCATTGTGCGCATGCCATCGTGCTTTGAAGAGAAATACCGAGAAGAGGAAGCCTGATCGATCAACTGACATCAATGATGTAAAACACGATAGGAAAGAATTTAGGCATTTTATGTCTATCATCAATGCTCAGAAAGACAAGATGAACGGATGCGGGTCTCCGTTCAAATATTCAGAGGCGTACCGTTTAAAGAAACAGAAGGCTGAGGGATCTTCCACGAAGCAGACGGTTGCCTGGGGAAGTATGTCCTTGGCCCAAACTGCACGACCCTCGGGATATGCGAGGGATGTCGTCGCGACTAATAAATCGCCCGGGATTTGTCAAAGGAACGTTCAGAGCGAAGCTTGTGCCGAATCGATCGACTCACGTTCCAACTACAACACGTCCTTGACGGAAAAGAATTATGCGAGATCGGAGAAACGCGAGACGAAATGTCCGGAAGCTAGTGATCTTACGTTACTGGCAAATAAGAGAGGGGTAAAAGCGAGAAGAAGACAAGATTTGTCGCCGAATCGCAAACTATCGAGCGAAGAACGCGAGGCTGTAGAGTTGAGGGCTTTGAGAGCCTTTAATGAACTTACTCTGTTGGAGGATAAGAAAAAATTGGAAGCGAAAAGGAATCGCGACTCACTGAATTATGAACAACCGACGAAGGGATCTGAAGTGGATACAATAATAAGAGGATATGATTTCTCGAGTCGCAAACGACCGATGGAAGACTCGAGCTCTTTAAAAGTCTCCAAGTATACATCGGAAGAGCTAAAAGCTGAAGAAAAATCTGATTCATCAAAGGACGAAACGTCAAAGGAAAATGTTGAAGGTTCAAGGAGCGTTTCTGATCATCCTTCGGAAGGTAATCGCGAGGAAATTGGGATCCTCTCGTCCGAGACTCAACGTGGAAACGCAAACAGCAGCCTTCAGTTAAACGAACGTTACACGGGACAAGCGTATACTTCGCTGAATCTCAGGGAGATCACTAGGAATATCGAGTGGACCGTCCATCCTCGGGGAATTGTTCTGACCAACAAGAACTTGCACCGTCAATTCTCGGAGAACGAAAGACACGAGAGCCAGCAGCGCGATATCGTCGACGACAATGTCGCCAGCACGTTGCACAGCGCATTCTTCTTCAAGCCTGAGATCGTAACGAGGGTCTTTCGACGAGCTCAAACGAGAATCGGTGAGTCTCTCCCAAGCTTCCCGACCTTCTGGCACGAGAACAGCAACACGGAATTCGTCTGCCAGGTGAACAATGAGATGGCCATGCAAGGGAATCGGGATTCGTCATTCTTTGACCTTGATCTCGAACGAATAACGGATCGGACCAACCTTGGGAACCCGTCTTTTCTCGATGCCAACAACAATCGTGTTGTCGGAGAGGAAAATCGCGACCTGTGCATAATATTTATCGATCAGGAGCAGGCATCCCACGAATCGGAGACCACGATCATAGAGGATTCGGCTGTCAGACCCCAGGAAGAGAACGCGCGCTCGAGCGTGGAGAATATTGAAGCGACAAATATCCTCTTGATGTGCATATTGAGAGACTTTGGCCTGGAAGTGTCAGAGGAAAGTGTACATGATATTATCGAGAATACGGAGGAATATGGAGATATAAGTAATGTCATCGCTAATTTTCAACCTTCGAATGAGACAAGTCCTGAGGAAGAAGGAGATAATAATAGAGATAGTACAATCTCGTCACATCAACAGACTTTGATTCCGAATGACAGTTGCCTGGATGATGGCGTCACGTCGCCTGTCAACCTGCTGCAACGTGATAATCCTTACAATTTGCCAGATAAAAGACACACAAGTGAGATCGATATTTCTTCTGAAAAGAGAACACATGAGAATAATTTCTTTCTTAAAGACGTTAACAATAATGCAGAGTCGCAAGCATCTAATAATAGTAATAATAATAATCAATTCGACATGTTTGTCAATAAAAGCGAGAAGAGTGTATTTAATCAGATTCTTGAAAATGCCTCGCAATTATCTTCTTCTGGCTCGCCATCATTTATTAAAGAAGATAATTTCAATCAATCAATGCTAAACTCAATCAACAAAGAAGAACTGCAAAGATTGACGCAACTTTCGGCCAGCGAAGCTACGTTAAAAAACCAAGGAACAGAATCAATAATGAACTTGGAAACCACAAATCGCGATATGATATCGCAATTTGAGGCTGTCGAAACCTTAGATTCATTAGAAATGTTACAGAACGACGTAAAAAACGAAGACGAAAATAGGGATATTTACGAAAAGGCAAATATATTTTCGACTCATCGATTTTCCGGGATAAATCAAAATGAAAGGTTGCAACAAGATGACAGCTTTTATTCCATGTACGAGAGAAATCACGATGGTACAAAGACACCGATCTCATTCGGAGATGGCAGTTTGATGGAAGAGTTTTCAAACAGCACTATACCGTCCTCAAATGCTTCTGCTAGAAACTTTCAATAACAGAAGCTGCGTAAAGAATTTGTTCGATATAACTGAAGGCTAATCAATATAAAATTAATATAAAAGAGAAAGATAAGATATTACAAGCTTAGATAAATCACAATTTTTTTGCTATTAAAAACTATAGAAACGTTTTACCGCTCATCAAAATTATGAAAAAATTGCAGGAATATTGCAATAATATTTGAAAGAGAATTTAACAAATTTGCTTGCAATATATTTTTATAATTATTAATAAATAATTGGCATAAAAATTAATTGTAATATTACTTACATTCATATGATTAATATATTTGAGAGATATATATATTTTTGAGTTATATACATAATTAAAAATTTTACATGTATTTTTTAGTAAAGGTTTCTAACATTTGCATACAAATAAAATTTATATATATATATATATATATATATATATATATATATGTGTGTGTGTGTGTGTGTGTGTGTATATATATATATACAAAACATGGTTATTTGCTAGAAATTTCATATACAATAATCTAGTCATTGGCAATTTGATTCAAAAAGAGCTGCATTATTTACAATAATATCTAAATAATGTGCTGCACATTTATATAATATTATACAAAGACGTATTTACTGAATCGTTTAATTCAGTTCGTCATATTTTACAAGTCGCGATAGTCAAAAATGTACGGAATAATTTAAAATAAAGGGATAAAGGAGAGAAAATTCCAGCATTTCCAGGAGTTTTTAGCAATTATCATCGAGGCCTGGATCCGAATCAGGGACTACGTAATTAGGATCGCAGACGGTATCCCTGATAGCCTCCTTGACGCTCGCTTTAAATATTCTGTAATTAATATTTCCGCTGTTCAAAGTACCGTACAGATACATGGGCAAGCGATTCGAGATCAGCCACACACTTTGTTCCGGCTCGTGATCCACTTTGATGTCGTTCGGGAATATCAGGGACACGTTGCTGGTACCAATCACGCCCAAGTTCTGCGGTATGTACTCCTTTCTGGTGTCCCAGCACCACACCGAGTCTCTCGTTACCATATTGAAGAACATGACCCCATTCCGATCGATCGCGGATCCCGAGGAGTGACCGTAGTCCTTGGCTCTAGGTCGACCAACAGGCACGAACTCCTCCGCGTTTCGATCCGCGGTCCTCTTGTCCCTGAAGATCGACGTGGACACGGCGAACTCCCGGAAACTGGACATCGGGTGGAAGAACAACGTCCTGTCGTCGCGAATGTCCACGGGACTGAGCGCGATCCCGAATATCCCGTCGGTCCACAGGAACTTTATGCCATGCAGCTCGTACCTGGACGCCAGGGGATCGGGATAGAAGAAGGGATGCTCGACTCGGAAAGTAGTGTCCTTGAAGAAGTCGTACACCACGATGCCGTATCGCCATACATCGCTCAGGTAAGCCACTGCGGAGCTGCAGTCGTGGTTCCTGATGTCTACCGCGATGTTGATATACAGGGAGTCCTGCTTGATCTGCTCGTCCGGTAGAGTGTACTTTCTGATGAGATTATCGGTGCGCAGATCGAAGATGAATATGGCAGGCGGGCACAATTGCTTGGACCTTATGGCGAGCTCCGTTTTGCCGGAGTCGAGGACCCACAATCGATCGCATTCATCCACTTGGACTCGAAAGACCGATGTTAAGCCCTCGCAGTTTTCTAGAATTAAAAAGATGTAGAACCAAAAATGCTGAAATTAAATTATCAAAGATTCATTATATCAAATATATATAAATTCCCTATTTTTCAATAGAACGCGGGAAGTTAAAGTATGTTTCTTATTTTTCAACAAAGATATTTCTTACACTTTTGGTTGCTCAGGCACTTGCTTGCTTTCTCACGAATTAGGTAGTTCAATAAATTATCTAACAGTTCGCTTTTGTTTCGAACAGGAAATAATAGAAAGCTCGTTTATTATCGCGAGGGATAATTCATGGGAAGCTCATTTATTCAGTTTCCGTATTTTTTTCCCGATTGAAAATAACGTGCTGTTGTTTCCCTGTATTTTCACAGTCTTTGTTTTAATTTTATGCAAATATTAATGACAATTTTCTCGGAAAAAATTATCATTAATAACCATTGATTTTCCTTTCAAGTAAACAATGCATTCATGTATATTTCATGCGTCAACTATGTCATGCGATTTCTGAAAGTTTTTTTTTTAATTCTTGATATATATTTTCTGGATCATCTTCTGCTTTCTGATTAGGTTTAAACTCGTAAAGCAAAATAGAATAGATTCTTGTTACAATCAAGATTTTTCTCGATAATAATTCATATAATTAAAAAAAACCAAGTAATAATTAAAAAAAAAACAAGTAATAATTTAAAAAAACTAAACAAGTGACAATCTATTAATACATATTCACAAAAATATTATCAAAAATTGTCACGTGCATAGAATATAAGTTCTTCGATATGAATCTGACAATTAAAAATAACCTGATCGATGCCACTGCCAGCTAGGGTATGGTTTCAGTTTGGGATTCCTCTTTTTTGAATGTCTCGGCACAGTAGCCAGAGTCACTGGTATGCCAGTCTTCCACTTTGGCAGAGTAATAAAGACTTTATCACGCCAAACATCCAGGCCGAGGGGTAAATTATTTTCCGCGATGTAGTCGCCCTCGAAGATAGCGAGATCTCTTGCCTCGATACTGTCGAATTCAATGTCAATCATGGTCCAGGCGTACATCTGTTAGAGAACAATAAGTTTGTCAAAAATACCTTCAATATCGATTCATATACCATTTCAAATCATAATTATCATATGTAAGGTAATTCGTCGTCAGCAAAAGCATAGATTTTATTTTGTTTAAATTCATTTTATATGAGATAATTTTGATTTTCTGCCATTTTGGTTTTCTGAATAGAAAGTGAAAAATGCATGAAAAAGTACTAACTTTGACCTTATATATCTTATTTTTACAATTAATGATTTTATTTTTATAATTAATGATTTTATATTTTTTAAACTTATTGATGTTCTAGGAATCTTGTAGAAACAAAAAATCGTATTTGTTGTTAAAAAAGTAGTGAAAAAATGAAAAATTGCAAAGAAAAGGATCCCTGAATAATTCATTATAACACAAAGGATTAAATATAAATAAATATAAATAATAAAATATAAATGAATAATAAAAGGAAGGCTTTTATGAAATTATTGACGAATAAAATAAATATGCATCGCAATTACATATATGTCATTAATTCATCTCGTGCAGCAACAAAAACTTTAATCAGTTATTTATACAAATCTTATTTGTTTTTATGGCAAAAATCTTTCTCATCAAATTTCTCTAGAAAATAATTTGTAATGTAGTCAAATATAAATAATTTATGCCATGTGAAATAATCTATAATTTGTGATAAAATTTGGAAATTTTTAATATTACATTTTGTGTGATATTGAAAACATTGTAGGAATTAAAACGAACCTAACATACAAGATAAATATCAAAATATATATTTTAAAAGACATGCATCAAATTATATAAATAAATTTTTTGTCTTATACTTAGTTGCGAATTATAGTGAGCTTCAATTGCGAGACCTGTTCGAGCGATTTTCTTCACTTTCGACGTCACAATGCAAAATCTGCTGACGCGGACGGAATTACGGAATCTCGGACATCGCCTAAAAATTTTGCAATAAAAAAACACGTTGCACTCACTAGTTCCATAGCTGGGCCGACGTAATCATCCGAAATGTATCCCGGCTCGAAACCGTCGCCGAAATCATGAAAATCCAATTGATTGACCGAGTGTGGATCCGTGCGAAATATATCGATGGCACTTCCAGGATGTCTCGAAAGATCGCTTCTGCCTAGATTCGACGTAGAGACGTGATGCCGCGTCAATTGCGGTGTCGATCCGTAAAGATCACCTTTGCTCGCGGTTTCTCTTCCCGCCGAATTTCCATAAGAATCACATTTCGCAGCATGTTCATCATAAATTGACGTGGAACCTCTATGATTGATGGGCTGATCGATAAATTATTTAATTAGATGTACTGTTAATTTATAAGTCAAAGAAGAATTTAATCTGATTTATTATAGATGTAAATAATAGCTTAAATTTGCTCGCTTACAAGTAGATAAATATTATAAAAATATGTACTATACATTTTTAAAAGTACATAGATGAGTTTCAAACTTAAAAGAAAATTGTAAAATGTAAAAGAAAAATTAGAGATCCAGATTTTTTTTATATATTATTTTTATAATTTTATAATTTTGAAATTTTAAATTTAATATTTCAAATTTTAATATTTTTAAAATTTATTTTTCTCTTGTTTTTCTTACATGCGAAGAGAATTTCGATAAAGTTGAAATGGATGGAGTTAACGGCAAGGCAGGTGCTTGAAGCTCCCTGGATAAGATACTGGGGCCCATGTGAACCGCAAATTTTGGGACACTTAATAGCGAAATCGACAACAACCATGGTAACGTGCTCTTCATATCTGCAGAAGAAAATTTTAGAAAATACATCCTTTAATACAACTTTTACAAATCTAATTGCGTCACAATATTTATTACAATCTGTCGTACATTTATACCGTTGTAAAATAATCGAATGAAAGGGTACATGAAAGGAGATAGAAGAAGATTGATTACTCTTCTTAGAAATTCAGTGAAATTTTCGCAACATTACATGCGTTGAAACCTGTTCCAACATTATCTCCTTTATCGAGGTAAGTGGGCCTTCGCGAGGAAATCGTCAACATTCGATGGACGCATCGCGCGCGGAATTAAATCTTAATCATCTGTCAATGGTTGACATATGTTCGACGTATGTATGATAACGCATGAAATAGCGGCGCTTATTCACTGACATAAATATGAAAGCAAAACGATGATCGACGGGTGAGTCTGCATCATTCTTACTTACTTCGCGACGTGTGATAATTCGAAATCCTACGAAAGCGGAGCGCTCTTTAAACGAGACGCTCTCGCCCTAAAGATGCACTGTCGGAGATGCCTAGCGCGAGGAAGACGAGTGCTCGAGATGGTACCATGAATGTTACGCGACTACCATATTCACCATCCAGGTCGTAAGTGACTCGGAGATCCTACGAAAGGAGAGAATGGCGAATCCCTTCTCCCGAGGATGATCTTCCCTCTCGTTCGTGTATTGCGACTTCGGTATAGGTCATTGGCGGATGGGTTCATGGGAATTTGCGCATCTGCTCGATAAAACTGCATCGCTGCAGTTATCGAGAATCGAGAACGTCGAGTGAAAAACGCGCGCGATGCTTCTAATTCGCGGTTTAATAACATTGAAGGACAAATTTGGCTGTTTTCGAAACTAGCATGTAGAGCTTTTTGTGTCGAATTCAAATCAGCCTGCAACATTCGCTTAGCATGTCAGGATTTTGAGAGAAACTCGGTTAAATAGCCATATGAATATATATACAAATAAAAAATGTGGAGGCTCCGTTAATATGAATATTATGAATTAATCATCCTATATTAATATTTTACATAATATGAATAATTCTATTAAAAGCATAGTTTGTATTAAAACAATAATGCATAGAAAAAAGAATTCGCTAATAATTTAGATACTTAGGAATAATCCTAATAAGGATCCAAAATTTCAATATGAAATGTTAATAGAAGATGTGAGTTTGATTAGAGATTTATTAAAAAAGGTTAAAATATTTTTATTCATAATAAATTAATTAATTTTTCGTAATGATAATGATTTTGAAGAGCAAATTTTAATAATGAAGAAAGAGTGAAAAAAATAGATAAAATATTGATAAAATTGTTAGATTATTTAATGGATATTCGTATAAGTTTAAAATATTATTCAAAATTACATTCGCATAAGTTTAAAATATTATACAAAATTGTAGTTTGTTAAATTGAAAAATACTATTTTCATGAAATTTATATTTATAGATAAATAAATTTAAAAAATTAATTTTTTTTAAGTAATTAGTGAGTAAAAATATATTGAATAAAAATAAAGATAAAAAAATAAAATTAATCTTAAGTTTAAATTGTTCATTAGAGATTAATCTAGAAAAGTAAAGAAAAATAATTAATAAACCTCTAATTATTATTAAAAATTTTTTTAAATGACAAAATAAAATTAGATTTTCATAATGATATATTTAAACAAATTATTGATCTATAAATTAAAAGAATAATTATAATTATATTTTTCAGCAATTACAATGGCTCAAAATCACAAGTTTGTACTTTGCGTAAAATGTAAAAAGTTCCATGCCAAAAAAATTTTTATGAAAAGAAATAAATTATTTAATTAATTATGCAACACTATAAATGTGCAGCAGTAATAAAGAAGATATGACTAATGAAGGATTTACAAGCCTGTTTGCGAAACACACTTCATCGGATATTTTTTTCTGAAAATAAATTAAATAGTTTGCTTAGGAAAACAAATAAGAATAAAAGAGCTTTTGTGTAACTTTTAATCCCCACCTGTCCGTGGCGTAGGAGTCTACAGTCTATTTTATTTATACAACTTTTATTCCCTGCTTGTCTGTGGTGTAGGAGTCTGCGTATTTTTCCTTTTTTTATTATTTTTATTAATAAAGCTCTTATCTCTGACTTGTCTGTTGTGTAGGAGTTGTGTCTACAGTTTATTTTATTTATGGAACTATCCTCCGTTTACCTGTTGTTTACGCGAGTTTGAGGTTCATCTCATTCATACAACTTTTATCCTCCGCTCGTAGTATACATACACACATACATATATACAAGGGGATCGAAGAGTCTCGCCACGTCCACATCATTGATTCTGAATAACGCTGGAAAACATTTCGAGTTTATGCAATCATTTTTTCAAAAAAATCTTTTTGACATGGAACATTTTTGCATTTTGTATATAAAGTGCAAGTCTCTCAAGCTTGATTTTAAGTCATAGTTACATGTAATACATCGCAATGGAAAGTTATAACTGTTGAAAAATTATCAAAATGTCCATTTTTCGCATATTTAACTGAGTTTTTCTCAAAAATCCTGCTACGTGCTACATAAATTTTGCGGGTGGATTTTAATTCTATAAGAAGTGATGTAGGTTTCATGATAATGCCAAAGTCTTGTTGGATAGTGTAATAAGAAAGACACGTACATAACTTGTCAGGATTTTTTCTTATCGTTATTTGAAACCATCCAGTTAACGGTCTATGAAACTTTTGTCAATTTTTTTGAAAATTTTAGGAAAAATTGCTTCTTAAATTATTAGAGCATTTGGAATTTTAAAATAATTATTAGAATATATATATATATATATATATATATATATATATATATGTGTGTGTGTGTGTGTGTGTGTGTGTGTGTGTGTGTGTGTGTATTATTATTATTATTATTATTATTATTATTATTATTATTATTATTATTATTATAACTTATTTTAAATATGCTTCACACAGATAGAAATATATTTCAAAAATTATTTTAGAAATTTTTCGATATATTTTTAAACCTTTTTTATATAAAAAAATAAAAACTATCTTGTGCCTTTCGTGAGAATTTTTTGTGGAAGGCGTCGGCCACTTTACAGCATCGGTGAGCGCCATAATTACATTTTTTATGAAGTAATATCGAATATTTCTTTTTATTATCGCTTGTTCTCAGGTGAAACTCGTTTGAATTTTACGGTACAGTAACAACGATGCAACTTGTGTTTGTTCATCGTAATTCAATTACCCGCGTATTTACGCAAGAAATGTTATTTTAAGATTCCGCGCGCATCTGTTTTCTGAAATTTATCATTTTAAGGAAAATAATTAATAATTTTATTAATAATTAATAATTAAAGAACCATTTTTTTTATTTCTCCTGCTTTCAACTCTTGCAATTCAAAGTTGTTTACAAGTCAAAATATCTAAATGTAATTGGATAAAAAATTTACAAAAATAAAAAACATTAATAAGAAAGAGAGAGAGAGAGAGAGAGAGAGAGAGAGAGAGAGAGAAAGAGAGACAGAGACAAAGAGAGATAAATCATTTTATAATTAAAAATTATTATTCAAAATTGATTATTAATATTATTGGGATTAATAGCAAATAAAAATATAGCGAATAAATAAATATTAGCAAATATTGAATTATTAAAAATTTTATATTATTTTTAATATTTAATTTCTTATTTTTTATTTCATTGATCTAAATTTAAGTCGATTATAAACTAAATTCATTGCACGTATCTTTCAAATTATAAATGCTGACATTCGAAAACTCACGATTTCTACGCGGCAAATCGTATTGCTGAAGCCTTCTGCGACTCCGGACATCACGTTGATACATCGGACTAGAATCATCCCCGATCGTACTAGAATCATCGCCGGAATTATAATCGGGAGAAGCGTACAAGTGATCGCTGGTATAGTTCATCCTCCTCGGAGGCATCCATAACGGTCGAAATGGTGACCATCCGTTTCTCTCCACGTCAATACTTTTCTTCTTTCTCATCATAGCATGCCTGGAAGCAAGCGTGAACCGTGAGCCGATTACGCGAGAATGAAAATTAAAACAACGGAAGAATTGAAGTGTAACAATTATATCTTGAATAATATCGTATTATAATCGGTCACGGATGGATTACGCTGTCTTCGGAATATTGCATAAATGCAGAATGAGCAAGCTATAAATGCCGTCAAAAGGATTTAATTTTCAGTTTGGAAATGCTTATAAATGTGCGTAAAATATATGTACATTTAAATGAACAGAATAATATTGATGATAAGTAGTATAATTTCCTACACAAATAACTGTAGACTTTTATGTAATGAGAGTATAGCTCTTTTATAATTTCTAATATAAATTGTATATTAATTAGAAATTAATTAGAAATTGTATATTAATTAGAAATAGAAAGTACAGCACACATAGTATAAAAAGCAAAGATACTATATATTTTATAAAAAAAGTGTATAAATAATTTAACGATTATAGTAACGGAATAATCAATAACATATTTATATATGTCTTGTCATTCTTCAATATATCGTATATATTTGCACGTTTTATCATTATTAATAATTTAATTGATTAAAAGAAAAACGTACTTGCATTGCCAAATTAAATTTTTTGTAGAAGCTACAAAATGCATATATGACGTCAGCTTGTAATTTGCATAACTCTAATTCGAGCAATCGCCTATACGTACTTTTTACATTTCGGCAATTGCGTCAATGCTTCGATAATTTCACGTTGTTACGCAGCGGAATGTTATTTGATGCAAAAACATGCTCTGTGTCGACAAAACCATTACCTGTTTCTACATTTGTTGCTACAAAGAGAAAGAAAGAATGAATTCGTGCTCAATTAAAATATTATAGTTTGCTAAAAAAATACACACGCAAGTAAAATCCCAAAATTATACGAGAATTCTTTTAGGTTGGACCAAAATTTCAAAAATCGATTAGCTTTCATGCCTATAAATACGGCTTTCTCGATCAATGTGAATTATTACACATTTCTTTAAAATCATTGTTTCTTATTTATTGCTATTCTTATTTATTATTTATTATTATTTATTATATTTATTATTATTTATATTGTTAATTATATATTATTGTCTATTTCAATTTTTTTATTTTTAATTAAATTTTATTTTTAATTAAAGATATATCAAAATTGCTGCTTCAAAATGTATAAGACTAGGTTCTCTCTCTTCTGAACAAATGCAATATTCTAAATTTTGTGGAGATTTTCTTATTTTATAATTGTTACATATTTTATGAGTATTCATACGAAATTAAAAAAAAATGTTAACATATACAAACACAATTCTATTCTAAAAGCAATTCAATATTTGTCTTAATTGGAGCGATGACTTCAAAGCGTCTGCGTCTGCGTCTGCTATTTTAATTATGTAATACAACCGTTCCAATTAAGGATTACTGGAGTCTTCTCTTATTTTCTACATCAGATAATGTAAACTACTCATGTTTTACATATTAATTTCTCTCTCTCTTCGCGACGTATTTTATATATAATTAATTTAACTCTCTTCTGATTAATAGAAAGCCAAACACATGAGGGAATTTAATTCATACGTATTGCTTAAATTCAGAAAATTCATGGCCGCATAAACGGGAAATAAGATCCGCGATGACGTTCATTAATTCCATGCATTAGTGATGCACGTTTCTTCGATGACGCGACATATTTCGCGACTCAAGCTCACGGTCATCAAAACACGTTCTTTCTCTCATCAGAGGGAAAAAGAGAGAACACAAAGAGAGAGAATTCACGTTACCTGATATAGTAGCTCCGTTCCAATGACTCGTTCCGCAAGCGAAGCAAGACGCTCTTTTCAGTCTTAGCATGTAAATGCCACTTTCCACAGGAAATTAGGAACACTTTCCGCTTTCGCACTTACTTCCTCCTACGATAGACGCCGAGAATTTCGTAAGCAACGTCAATACTTATCGAATATCTTCTATCTATTCGCAAATGATGTGAGAATTCACGGGAATTTGCGCATCAAAACGTCCGGCGCTCATCATCCTTGTAATTAATTACATAATTGTTTTTAACGTATATGGATTTACTACAAATGGCAAACGATTAGAGAAAAAATAAGACAGTTATTTATATCGTCGAAATTAATATAAATAACTACATCATATGATACAATTAATTATAGCATATAATTATTGGCTAGACACTTGACTAGGACAACGAGTTGTTACTTCGGTAATCTTGCAACGCGCACTGTGTGCTTGTTTGCTAAAGTATCGAGATTTATTACTTTTACCGCACACCCTCTCCATATTACAGCTGTGCATTCGTGATTCGTTATTTCTTTCCGATTTTTACGTTCCAGCCAATTTTTAATAAATTAATTATCAAACAAATGAGGAACATAAATTTTTAGTACATGATTTCTACGTATAATTATATATAATTTATGTATACATACAGCATTATTCATATCATTATTTTATTATTTTCATTATTAATTATTTTTTAATTTTATATATTATATTATATATATAAATATTAAAAATTTTTGAAAGAAAGATCATGCCAAAGCTGTGAATTTGATCTATAATTTAAAATATTTGTATAACTTAATATTTTCTCTTTTTTTATCATACATATATATGTCATAAAAAATATTTCGGCAACAAATTAATAATAATATGGTATTCGGTTTTAGCGCGGCGCGTAATTTTAATATTTACATATATAAATATATATCAAAAAAATAATTTAACAATAATTTATGTTTAAAATATCTATGGAATATTTAGATGACTAGTCTATTACGAAATGTGTGTGTGTGTGTGTGTGTGTGTGTGTGTGTGTGTGTGTGTAACAAGAATCAAAATTATAAATTATCGTTTTGTCGCGAGCTTTACGTAATAATTATTTCTTTAACAATACTTAAAAATTAAATATATTTCGTCTGACGCCTATCGTTCGACTTTCTGACAATCTAAATCTAATTATAATTTGAATTAAGAATGCATAATATATAAAATAATCGAATGATGGAATCGAATAATTAATATAACGAAAAGTCTTGTAAAGTATACTTGTAAGTAAAATAATACAGGCCTGCGAGGGTTAGTTACAAAAAGCAAAGTAGGTGAATCTCTGATAGATTTTTTGACGCTGAAAACGAATCTGACTGCAGAATTTTCGATTTTTGAGTAATTCGTGGTTAAATAATTCAAAATGGCTATTTCGACCAATTTCATGAATTTATTATGAGGAAACTTAATATTTTGAAATGCCAATTGACATCTTATAATACTAGTCTTCATCTTTTAAATCCATTTTCGCTAGCTGCACGATTTTTTTCTGAGACAGACAAGTTATAAAACTGATCATGCATGTCCAATAAGCCATTCCAAGTCAATCGTGTTACCTCTTTGTCTTTTCACGAATCAAAATTTGGGTAAAAATATAAATTTCACTGTGTATGACGATGATAAATTTTTATCAAAGCGCGATAAATAAATATTTATATATTATTCATTATTGCAAATAAATATTGAAGTAAAAAGGATAAAAGTGATAAATTTATCAATCCAACAATCCTTCGACTATCGATTCTTACGTATTCTAACAATTTCTTTATCTAATAATGAAAGATTAGAATTAAATATATTTCATCCAATTTAAATTTTTTTAAATATAAATTTTCCTGAATAAAAATTAATTAAATGATTATATTACATTTCACTATTTTAATCTTGAGATCATATAATTTATGTCATTGAGCGTATGTTTTATATTTTTCATGTTGCTTTCTTACAATGTAATGAAGTAAATATTTCGTGTTAATTTTCCGCTATCGGGAGTGCCATATAAAGTGTCTCGCGATCGGTTATGTATACGATTAATTATATAAAATTGATCTTGTTTTCGCGAGTAAGTGTGAGTGCCATGAGGAGAAAGAAATAGCAAAGCACGAATAAGAGGAAAAAAAAGACTAGAAAAGGGTAACATGTTTAATAATTGGGCAACCCATTGGGCAACATATGAAGCAACAAAAATATTATACGAGAAATTATATATATATATATATATATATATATATATATATATATTTATAAATTATATATATAAATTATATATGTAAATATTTATATATTATTTATATTATTTTCAGATATTTTCACATATTGCTTATTCTCTATTTACTTTCTCTTGATAATAATTCTTTCTAAATTATATATAACATAATGCATATATAATATTCCGGATTTTATTTTAAAATATCTATAATAAAATTTAATATATTTTTATTAATTAATATTTTATACAGATAGTTTAGTATCTTGTAAAATGTTTTACAATATTATAATTATTTAGATTCTATATATTATAATAATTATAGAATTTTTATGATCATATCTTTCAAAAGTTTTTATTCAAGAAAAAAATTTTAATTATGCAACTTTAGTATATTAATGTCTGTAGAAGAGAAATAAAAAAAATTGATTGCGCGTAATAATAAATTTCACAATTAATTATTTTGAATATATATACTTTGCTTTACAAAATAGATCTTGAAAAATTTTAATTGATTATATTTACATTTAATTTGTGTCTGGTCTTTGTATTTGTAATTAGTAATATCCACATGTGTGTGTGTGTGTGTGTGTGTGTGTGTGTGACTCGTTTCACGGTATATATCGATCTCATCCCCGAATTTCCTCTGACCTCTGACCCAAGTAATCCGCGCGGATTTCTGAATTAAATACTCCACGCGGACTTCTGAATTAAATACTCCACGCGGACTCGATCGATATAGCCAATAATCACGATCCCTTGATACTCGATCCAATAGAAAACTCAGATTTCGTGGATTCCCGAAACATCTCGCGTCTTATTGGCGTTTCGGGCTTTCCTTTCGCATCCTTTTCGTATCCTTTTTGCATCCTGCTTCCGTTATTTTATCTCTAATTCAAAATAAGATACCGCTCGGTTTCATCCGAACATGAGATGCGGATAAAAACTGAAGCAAAAAATGTATTAATAATTTCCTAAGGCGTTTTAGCTGTCTCACATTACACTGAAAGTGTGAAATAATGTGTTTATTTACGCATCCATTTGTCATAGACTTTCTTATCGCGTACAGCTGATTTATGTCTCAATTTAGTTAGAAATCACAGAAATTTGTTTCATGTATTTTGATTATACTTATATGCGCGAATTATAATCTCGTTGTACGAGCGTTTTCTGAAAAGTCTGTCGAAGACGCCTTTAATATTATTATTAATTTATTATAAATTATTATTGATTTATATTATTATTATATTATTTTATATTATTAACATATTACGATTAAAACGATTAATCAGCATAAGAAGAAAATACTTTGCACATTGTTTATATTCTTTTAATTTTCAGCTATAGAGTAATATTATAATTAATTAATTAATTAATTAAATATATTAATTCTGCTGATGATTTTGATTCATTTAAATTACACTTATAAAACATCTAACTATATCTTTTAAAAAAATATCATTTGAAAATTTTGAGAATATTATATATTTATATCCATATAAAAATAATTAATAAGTAATATTTAATAAGATTTTTGAGATACTCTTTTGAAAATACTCTTTTGAATCAAATCAGTGTATCTGAAATTTTGCAACGCTATTTCAATCAGTGATACTTTCACTAATTCAGTTTAGGATAACATGTCTTATATTTACACATATTTCTTATCCAAGTTCTTATCTTTCGGTTGGCATACATTTTTATTTCGCGTGCATGCAGAACTGGAAATAAATAATAAAATAATAGAAGGCGAGTAGTTATATAATATCAACCGTTATTGAACCATTAGAAAACTAGAAGATAGAATGTAATTTTAGTAATAATTATTATTGTGAATTAGAATTCAATTTTCCTTTAATTGAAGAAAATTTACCGTTGCATATTATAACAAGAATTAGTATTACTATTTGCAATATACACTTTATTTTTAAAAAATGATGCAAATAAATATATAAAACTTAATTTTTTATCGAATTAAATTAATTTTAATACAATTTCACACAATTTAGTTTGCAATCAATATCTCATTAAATTAAATCCTTACTCCTTGAAAAATATCCATGATCACACTATTCTCTTGACTAGCTAAGATTGGCGAACGTAATTTTAAAACATGTTTGCAAGCATATTTTAATGTTGTTAAAACCACAAGGAGGAAATTAATTTGTGATACATTGTAGAAATAAATCATCGCATTAGCACGCATTTCCTTAGTACATCTAGAATTACAATTAATATTCATAATTATTACCACATACATTATTACTATGCCGAAAAGAAATTTTTTTTTAAATCTTTTATTCAATAAAATATATGAATAATCTTTACACTAATTGTAAAAACAAAAGTTAATTTAATTAAATGCACACACTTATGCATACATGACATAAAAGCTAATACAACACGATAGGGATTCATAATATAATATTAATATAATACATATTAATATAAATTAATATAATACATATTAATATACGTATAATATTAATACATATAATATTAATATAATATTCATATAATATTAATATAATACATATTTAATATTACAGATTTTATTTTAAAAAATATTTTAAAAATTCAACAAAATATTTACAATATTTTTAAAATATGTATATATAAACATATCAAATAATTTGATTAAAATATTTAAATAACTAACCTAGCACAAAATGTGCATATGTATGTGTATGTGTGTAACAGAAATCAAAATTATAAATTATTAATATAAATTATAAATTATAAATTATTGTTTCGTCGCGAATTTTATGTAATAACTATTTATTTAACGATACTTAAAAATTAAATATATCTTGGTCGACCTTATGAATTGACTTTCTAACGATCTAAATCTAAATATAATTCGAATTGAGAACGCGCAGAGTATAAAATATAATCGAATGGACAGTCAAATAATTAACATGATGAAAAGTCTTGTGATACATTAATCGCTTAATAGATAATTATTACAATATTTTATTATTATTATAATATTTTATCATTATCATTATACTTTATTATTATAATATTTATACTTTAAAATACTTGTATAATTTAATATTTCGCTTATATATATATATATATATATATATATATATATATATATGTACAATATATCACAATATTAAAAAATATTTAAAATATTTTGAGAATAAATCATATCAATAACATAGTGGCCTTGAAGGCGCGTAGCACGTTATTGTTTATACGTCATGACTTTGTTATCATTCGTACGGGAACATTCGAACAGGAAAGTAGTGATAGAAAACGCTTCGTATATTATCGAATTCTTTTCCTAAATGCGATCGTGATAAGTAAACGTAATCCGCTGATTATTATAATTAATAATTAATTAATTTTTGATAAACATGACACTGTATCACGACGATGAATTTTTATAAGTGAAAGAAATGATCATTATTGTAAGTAAATATCGACGCGCAAAAGAAATAAAAATGATAAGTTTTGTTACGATCCTTCGATTATCTTGCTTGGCTCTTATTCGAAATTATCGTTGAATTCCCGTCTTATTGGAAAGTTCGAAGTGTAATTCTCGTACGAAACGGGATTTTCGATCGTATCGAAATTCGGAAGTGCCGTTAAAAGTGTCGCGCGTATGAGTCAATGGACTCTGACGACCTTGAGAGAATCTGAGAGATGCCTTAGGACAGTCATCAGACACAACTCAGTAGAACAGCTCTGTAAGTAATTTATTTATTTATGTTAGTAAATTGTTAGTTATTTATTAATTGCGTTTGTGGAATTTAAATTGAACAATTAATCGTGTATTCGATTTTTTTACACAAGATTTGAACAAGAAAAGATTAAAGAAGAAAAAGATTTTTATATGTAAATAAAATCTGTATAACTTTGTAAGAGTTTCCATTTTTAAAGAATTATAGCTTTTATATAGAGTTGTTAGAGAATTATTAGCAGAGATTTTTCAAAATTTATAAAATTATTTTATTAATCTGCTTATTATTATAAGCAATAATATATTATAAAATTCAATGCGTATAATAATAATTTTTTTGAATATTATTTTGGACATTTCTACTTTAGATCTTCTAATTGTATATTATAGACCTACATAATTGATGATCCTGACAACCTGAGAGGAAGAAGCGTTGGAGAACCATCTTGCATCGAAGCAACAAGGTATTTATTATTTGTATATTGTACATTGAGATGACTATCGCATACGCGCATTAAAACAAGAGAAAATGAGGAAGAAAGCTTCTCATATAAATCCTATAAAAGTAATAATAGATCTTATAAAGATTCGTATATAAATCCTATAAAATATCCGTTTTCCTACGAAAATTATCTGTTTTTTCTGATTCAAAATTTATACAAAAAGTCACTTTTTTATGTTTTAAATAATTAATTGTGCCAATCTTATATTTATTATTTATTTGTTTCGAAATTAATGGGTTTGTTCAATTTTTTTCGCTTTATTATTTATACCAATCTTTAGTAATAATATATATCTATAATAATCTTTATTATCTATAATAAAATAAAAGATTATTAAAGATGATAATTATTACTATCACATACAATAATCTTTACTAGTTACGGTAACGCACATACAGTATTATTTGTCAATTGCGTGACATTCGCTTTCATAATTCGGAAGTTGACCTCCATGAAATTTAACGTGCCAGCCATGACCTTTTGAAAACGATTAGTCACTACCCAGAGCTCCTCGTTTGCGCTAGTGATGTCTTCCGGTATTATTTTAATACCACTGGCAAACTGAAATCTGTCAGGATCGCAAGCGATGATACCCTGCAAATAAAAGTGAAATATCTCGATTTCTTTATCGTTCAAACTTTTTTTAATGTAAATGTTCGCGAAGAAATATCGAAATCAAATTTATTAAAAAATTGCAATTTTATATCAGTTGTCACATAAATAACATACATTAAGTAAAAAAAAGTTTTCGAAAATATAGCATAAATAACAAATTCGATAAATTTTGAAAAGATTTGAAAAGAAAATTAAAAAATAATTATATTATGATCATTTATCGCAGAAACCATAAGTATTGAAGAAATATAGTATTTTTTTCTCTTGTATGAGTCTTGTACAATTTTTGAATTCTATAGGAAAGAGTACATATTTTAATTTAAAATCTACGTACGTCGAGAAAAAAATTATAAACTTGACTAAATATTTTTAATTCTCAAAATATTTCCAGTGTTTTCTAATTATTACTTTTTTAATTAACATATTTAATTTAAATTAAATATGACATATTAAATCTAACACGGCATCTATTTAATTTAATTTAAATACTTAAATATTTCAATTAATAGAATAATAATTAATTGAAAATGTTTACAATTTTTTTCTCAATGTATATACAATATAAATCAATTTCTTAGACGAGATTTTAAATAAACTGGACTGAGACCAAGGTATCTTTGTTGAACGGCTTGCAAGTGTTCCAACATGCTACGGACAATTTCGTGTGTAGACCGAAGAACAGGACGCCGTTCGATGAAATAGCCATGGCTGCTGCCTGGGTCGGGATAACGTCTCGTATCGTGTAATAATGTACTTTAGTACCATATCGCGAATTCTTTAAATCGGTGGTCCTTGCGCTGTTGATATCTCGCGAAGACATAGATCTGAAATAGAGAACGGGCGCATACGGATGCTTGGCCATCCCCAGGATACCATCGTGCAGTTGGAAACTCTCACCCCTGATGGTATAATTTGCGAAGTTCGAATCCGGATAGAATACTTCAGACTCGAGACGCCAAATCTTCTCGCTATCGCTATCATAGATTATCAGTCCGTATCCTAAGACATCCGCCATGTACGCCTAATGCAGAAACGAAAAATTTTGAGCAAAATTATGAACGACTAAACGCTTAATCTGCTCACGACATCACGTAAGTTTTTAAATAATTGAAACCTCGAAATATGAAAATATCTTAACGCTATCCTTAACAAAATAATAACGATTTTAAAATATTATGTATGAAAAATTGAATGATTCTATATAATTTTGGGATGAAATTATAATATGATTTATTTGCGCGCTATTTCTTTTAATTTGAGATTTATAGAGTTTTATAGTAACAGCAGAATTTGAATTATTTTATTTTGTACCGACTTACAGTTGTATGCGCGCAATGGGGTCCATATGTCTCCAGAACAATGGTAACCAATAGGCCCATTTTTGTCAGGGAATTCTGCGAGAGATTATTAGGTATCTTCACTCTTTTAATTAATGCATTTGTAGCGAGGTCGAAGACAAGAAGCTGTGCTGGACATATTACTTTATTTTCGATCCTACCATTGTCCAAAACCCATAGTCTATTGCAACGATCGATCTAGGAGGGAAAATTTTTTGGTCACGATATATTTCAATATTAAATGCGATTAGTAAAAAGTATATAATTTAAAAAATAAATAGTAAAAGAAATATAAAGTAGTGTATAAATAGTAATAAATAAAAATAAATGATAAAAATAAATAGTATTTAAATAAATAAAATAAATAAAAGTAAATAATAAACAGTATTAAAAAAATTTACCATAACTCTGTATACATTAGTGATACCGTTGCAATCACCTCTTTTCGTCCATGTCCAATCAGGATATGGTTGTAAGAGGGGACCGCCGAGGCCCTTCTGTTTACTAATTACGTTCAAACTCGATGGAACTCCATTATTTCTTATAATGGTTACGAATACTCTCCCATCTATTGAAAAAAGTAAGGGATTTAAAAAAAAAAGAATTATATCGTGAAAATTACATTTAAATATATTCTAATTTAAAAATTAAATGGAGAGCTCTCGCTTGTTGAATATATATATTTGTACGACTTGTATTGCAAATAAATAATAAATAACTTGCTTTGCAAATAATAATAACGAAGCATAAATAATTTATATCGAGCGTTCACCTTTTGAGTGGTCGACATCGATGATTACACATTTCCTATAGTTGTAATCGCCTGAGGCAATCGCCGCCGCTTTGTGATTCGCGTTTTTCCACTTGTAGTCGAAATATCTCCATTGGTACATCGTCTGGAAGTACTCTTGGTGCGCGACGACATTTATAGAAACGATGCCAATGCATAATAGTAATAATAGCAATTGTATGTTCGACACTCGAGTTCTCATTCTAGCTCGTGCTCTCCACCAAAGGCACGTATCTTTTAAAGAGTTATAATAATAAGCAATTGTGAAATTAATTATAGTTTGCGCGACAAATGATGTTGCTTGCGTGACAGATGTCTCTTTTTACATTATTAATAATGTATCTAGGGCTCACGTTATGTTCGTTAGAGCAGTTACACATTAAACAACTCACTTATTGACGAACTGATCATTGAAACTGAATTGCTGTGTCCGCGATTTGGATTTATAAGAGCTGTGTACATCGATGAACAAGATACTATCACACCTGTGTGAATATTTTCGTTGACGTGCCAAAGCATTAAGACTCTTCCTCGTAATAAATCAAACAGGATGTAAAGATATAAACTGTTTTTTTAAGAATATTTGCTTGTATAAGATAATATTTTAAATCAGTGACGTGGTATTTTGGTAGTCGTGGTATTCAGTCTACGAAGTGATGCTTGAGGTTGTGGAACAAATTTTACGGTGGCATCAAATATTTGATCTTGATCTTTCAAGAAACTGCATTCCCTTTCGATCGTTGGCTTGCATCATCGTATTTAATGCAACTGCCATATAATAAATGTGTAATTAGCTTCTTTTGTTCTCCACGAGAAAATATCGATCGCACTATACTTACGAAACTACACTTCACTCGCTATCGTTTAATGCACGTTTCGTGTTTCTACGTCGAGTCGTTTTTACTCACTACGTTTGACTAATCCCAGAGCATTACAAGGAGCGCGATTTAGTTCCATCTATTATGTAATATGATAGATTAAAATCTGTCTTGACACATGCAATGGAAATAATTATATCATATTTTTAAAAAATACGCGAAATAATAATTTCTTCCTTTAAAAGAAAGATTTAGTGTAGTAATTTTTTTAAAGAGCTTTCATTTTTCGGTCAATTTTATTGAAGAGGCTTTTCATCTTTATTTTTCCACTTTATTTATGTTTATATAATTGTCCTTATAACATTCACTGGAATTTCTACATTTTTTATTTTTCTTGACGTATAGGCTTTATTATCTTTCCATCAATAATATTATAGTCATAATAATTTTAATTATAATTTTAATTTTAATAATTCTTTTTTTAATATATGTTTTTTATTCAAAAAAGCTTTTATATTTTATAATCTAAAAATAAAGATGTCAAAAATATAAGGCAAATGTTTTAGATAAAATATATTATTTTTATAAATAAATATTTTCCTAAAATATATTATTTTTATAAATAAATATTTTCCTAAAATATCATCTAGTACATTAATGTAAGGAGAGGTAAATAATTTAAAATAAATTTTTATTTGTTATAATAATTATAATTATTAAATACGAAGCTTCCAGCTTCAACGTACATCACTATAACTTTGTACAATAAATTTTATTATTCTTATTACGTAATAAATGTAATTGATAAATATTTCTGCGGTAGAAATGAACATGTTTATTACACTGGATTATATAAATATGATACGCAATGAGAAATTAAAAATACATTTGTCACAGTTCAATGATACTCTCCAGATACTTATTGTCCACTATTTTCAATAAAACTAAAAAAACAATTAGTAGGAACGGTGATTATTCTCATGATAAATAACTGTAAGCAGAATAATAACTGTAATTGGCACCACGAGCAGTGAAAGCTTAATGGCTTATCGAGCTCATAAGCTCTAAAAAATTCATAGAACTTCTAAATAAGCGGGCTCTATTCGTTCTTCGTCGCCTGGAATGTCGTAGGTACGTTTAGTGTCGCGCGTTCTTCAATCGTAATCGATAATGATGGTGTAATCGACCTGAGGTCGAGGATAGATCGCTTTCGAAGAGAAAAATGGTCTGGCGAATAATCTTGGAAATCGATACCATAGCGGTGGTGGGTGGTGGTAGTGGTGGTGGTAGTGGTGATGATAATGAAAATCCGCGAAGAAACTGGGATACTTGCGGACAATCGGTGCCACCGCGTGATCAGAACGCGAATCGTCGAACTCCCCGCGGTGCCACGATCTTCAATCGGAAGCGACCGTCTCGTAAGCGCGATTGCGATCGAAACCACCGTTACACTTGGTGCCGCGAACGAGCTCGTCTACGTAACCAGCCAGTATCCGAAAGTTGGTCTCGTTCGCGTTCATGGTCCCGGTCATGTACTTCTGGAACGGCACCGTAAGCACCCACAGCTCCTGCCGGCCATTTTTTGTTTTGATGATCTGCAACGAGGTTGACGATATGTCAAGTGTAATTTGACAAAAATACAACAAATTGTTTTTTTGATCGCAAAATATTTTTCTGGCAGTTTATTAATATTCTGAAAGCACTATTTTAATGAATTCTATTTTTTTGAGCCTAATATTATTATTTTTTGATTATAATAATCGTATATAATTTTCTATTTAATTTAGATACATATAAAAATATATAATATATAAAAAATATAATTAAAATGGAAGGATATGTTTACATGTTGTTGAAGAATTTTGTGATTGTTGTACCTTTACTCCAGACGAAAATTGCAAAGTCTCGGGATTGACGACAGTGACTTCGTTATCGATGCCACCATATTCGGGATGAGTTATACTGTTCCAACATCCAATAGCTGTATCTGATAGAAGACCGAAGAAGAGAATGCCATTCCGATCCATGGCTTGAGCGGCCGATTGCGATGATCTTTCCTTGGGGAATGAACGGAATGACCTTGGTGCGCTATCGGGATGATCGTGGAAGAGGCTATGATTTCTAAATAATAGCAAATGTTCGATTACAGTGAGATGCCACTTATCGAAATACTTTGAGACAATTTTAAAAAGTTTAAATTATATAATAGAAACATGTGTTTTAATTATTCTTTTTGCTATTAATTTATTTTTATTAATTTTGTGGCTACAAATATATCTGCAGCTGTATATCTTTTTCAGAATTTAATAATAGAAGCAAAAACTATGAATAATCGTTTATCAAATGCTTATTTATAATTCATAACATTATCGTTTTAAATTCATTTTTTTATTTGAAAAACTATATTTTATAGTAATAATGCATTTTTATTTTATTTGTTAGGAAAGTTTTACGATCTTGCTGTTAAAGAGTTAAATCCGAAACAAAATAAAGATGTATCCAATAACATTTTCGAGATTAAAAATTAAAAAATTGAGAAAAACTATAAATCTATTAATAATTTATAAAAATGAGTAAAATATAATGAAAAATGAATTTATATATATGATTTTTGCTTAAAAAAATGAAAGATTTTATATAAAAAATTTAAGCCATTTTTATTTGTTTAACAAATACGTTCTAATAAATTTTAAACAGTATATTGCACATAAAATATATTTACATATCTCTTTTTTTTAAGAGAAATCATGCAATGCTTATATTAATTTTTTTACGATTAAATAAGCATGATTATTCTTTTTTTTCTTACCTGATAATGGAAGTGGGTACCCAACTTTCGACTTTGCTGGCCAAGGAATGGAAATATAAGATTCTATCGCCATCCAGTTTCCTGGGACTCAGTGCGAGTCCCAGAATGCCGTCCATCAGATCGAACGTGAGCCCGTTGATGTAGAATGTTCCATAGGGCGGATAAGGATAAAATAGGTTATTGGTGATTCTCCACGAGCGGACATTGCGATGATCATAGACGAGCAATCCGAATCCGGTCACATCGGCGATGTAGACAAAGGCATCGTCGCACTTGTCGTCGCGAATGTCGACCACGAGGGTGACAAACAGGGAATCCTCCTTGAACTGATCCTTAGGGAACTTGTACTGACTTAGAAGTCTATTCGTTCGCAGGTCGAATAACAGTAATTGAGGATGACAGATCTGTCGTTCCTCCAGCTTGCCAGTGTCGAGAACCCATAATCTGTTGCACGAGTCTACCTGTAATCACATTTTTACTCTGCAGCTAACACTTTGTCTTCTTATTATTCAATAGGAACATTGGATGATTGTTTGATCTGTGAGAAAAATCGTCTCTCACTAGTTTTACTTTTTAATATAATTAAGATTCTCTCTGAAAATATATAATATTTGGAGACGTAAAATAAAGCAGAAGCATTAAATTTTAAGCCTGAATTCATATTTTGTGACTTAATTAATAACATCATTATTTTCTAGATTTATTTTTTTTAATTTTTGAAAATATTATTTTATAATGATGCATTTTTATTTTATTTGTTTGAAAAATTTTACAGTCCTGAATTTTGAAGAATTAAATCTGATGTCAAGTAATAAAGTATAATAATAATTTTGGACTCAAAAATAAAAAAAAACTATATATAATATTTTTAATATTATGAAAATAAGAATAAATTTTGCATATAAATAAATATGTAAACTATCTCATTGTCAAACTTTTTAGCATTTTTATCTATAAAGGGATTCTCTGATAAAAATTGAGAAAATCGAAAATTTATATTTTTTAAATAAAATTCAAGGATTATATTAATTTATGTTATGATTTTTAACTCTCTGGAATGTCCATATAAAATAATATAATATCACAAAAATATAATATCATATAATTGCCGAATAAGGAATTAAATGTAAATTATCGTAATGAAAACTAATAATTAGAAAAATATGATTATAATTTAATGAAGATGTATATTGCTTTCTAAATGTTTCTTATCGTGTTACTTCTCAAATCTTTCCGTACGCAACTTTCATAGGTAATTGCTTTCGCTTCGAGGAAATAACACATTCCTTTTAGTGTTTGTTTTCCTATTTATGTATATGTATACTTATATATCTATACACTTCGTGCGTTTATCATTAACATGGAAATTGCAAATAACACGATTATAAATCAAACAATGATGATAATAACAGCAGAATTCATTTATACTAGCTACAATCTTTCTAATAATACTTTCTAAACAAACAGTATATTATACTTTCGTACACGATAGGTGGACGCGTACGGAACATTATATATCTAATATAACGTATACAGAATTATTTTTACGATTAGTTGAAGTCGCAACAAAAATTTAAAAAAAAACTATATATAATATTTTTAATATTATTATATTATGAATGAATATTATATTATGAAAATAAGAATTAAAATTTTGCATAGAAATAAATATACACTATTTCATTGTCAGACTTTTCAGCATTTTTATCTATAAAAGGATTCTCTGATAAAAATCTAAAATTGAAAAAATCTAAAATTAATATTTTTCCAATAAAATTCGATGATCGTATTTTATATCATGATTTTTAACATTCAAATAAAAATAGTGTTTTGAATAATTTCACGAATTTATAATTGTTAGCGTATTGAAAACTATAGAAATTATTTTCTTTTCGAAAAAATGTATTCTGTATTTTTCATCTATTAGGTAGAAAAGTGTGGTATATACCTCATTTATTAATTATATAATTTACATTTTGAACGTAAAAGTGACGGAACTCGACATTAAATCGAGAGATAAAACTTATCGAGAGCAAACTTATGTTTCTCCTTAATCTCAATCCGCACGAAACATCAGCAAACAATTATTTTAGGTCATGCGTCTCATAAATAACTCAGATACTTGATAATAGTCGTTGCAAAAGAACACATAACGGAAAATATAAAAAATATCGAAAGCGTGCCTTCCATCTTATTATAGTCAATGCCAACAATTACAATAATTAATATTGTCTCCTTTATGAAAAATTATTTGCTTATATCACACGTTCGCGGATCGTTATCCGCATTTCTCGAATAGTAATGAAGGCGTTATTTCCATACAGCGTCATGCCATCACACGAAACATGTTTATCTCCGAATAAGCGAGGCGCGATTTCCGATAATAAAATAGTAAGAAACATTTCTGAAGCTTCAGGGGACTCGTGGAGAATTAATAATCATGAATATGAAATAAATATATACAGTTTTGTATAAAATATATATATGATTTTGCAATTTACCGATTTATTTTATTTGCCATATCATAAAAATAAAACAAAATAAATATTTATTTAATCAAAACGTTAAGCAATAATAAAATGCTTAATTTTGATATTGTTAAAAATGTCATTTAATAATTAATTAAGATGTATTAAATTTAAGTTTTTTTAAAATTTATATTATTAAATTAAAGCTTAAATTTATATTATTAAATTAAAGCTTAAATTTAATACATCTTAATTAATTATTACTTAATTAATTATTATTAATAATTACTTAATATTACCTAATAATCAATTAATAAGTTACTTAATAATTAATCAAAAAGATTATTATCGAGCATAATATGTGAAATATTTATGCGCTCTAATTAATCCAAATTTGCAAGACATAAATACAAAATTTTCTATTATTACCTGCATTCTGTACACACTGGTGATCGCGTCGCAATTTCCCAATCTATTCAATTCCCAATTTGGATAAGGTGCGATTATCGGGTTTCCCTCAGCAGAAACCTTTTCCGTGATGTAACCGAGGGTGACAGGAACTCCATTTTGAAATCTTGGTATTGAGATGAATATGACGGATCCGTGTTTAGCTATAAATACATTGAAATTGTTATCAAGTGTTAAGCAAGATAAGTGAAAATGTGTCACGATCCGACTTGAAAGCAATTAAAAGATCTTGAAAATAAAAAAATCTTCGAATAATCGATTTCTTATTTTTAATTTTCTTACAGAGAATTAAAATAAACGTTTATTATAAATTAATAAAAATTTAATACTTGTGTACGAATTCGAAATATTAATTTTGAATATTATTTTTGTTATAAAAAAATATTCTTTTTTATTGTTATAAATATACAATGTCCTTTCTTATTTCTTTTTATTTTATACTATCCTTATAATATCCTTTTCACTTTTCCATGTATATTTTTATAGTAATTTTCGAAAAGTTGCATTTGAACTAGCAATAAAACTAACTGGAATTTATGCTTATACAGGTCTTCGAGTTCAAAATAGTTTCATCAATCATCTGTCAAAGTGGATTACATCAGAAATAAATAATAATATATAATTGAATAAGAAAGAGTTATTAGTGTAACGATAGTTGATGTGAAACTCTGCATAAACATTGTGCAAAAATGATACTCAAGAAAATGTTACTCAAGAAACTTCGTTACTTAAACCGCATAAATAATGAAGGATCGTAAAATATGCCAGTACGAACCGTTAGATTATAACTGATCAATATCAATAATGTAAGCGCGTGAACCTTTCGATCTCTCAAATACATTAGTTTCAATTATATGATGCAAATCAATATTCGACAAATCAATATAATTGCTTTAGTAAATAATGAGAGTAATAATCAAAAATAAGATCAAATAAAAATATTAATTCTTTTAATGGCATTTATAGTTTTCAATTTTATGGAATAATAAGTAATAATATCGAGAGAAGAAGGAAATACATTAACAATAAGAAAAAATAAAATATATAAATATAAAAAAAATTTCACAAATGAGAGATTGAATGATTTATTTGGCGAATAATGTGTTATTTCGAACCCTGTGTTAATGAACGATATGTTATTTTAAACGCTTTTACAGTATGAAAGAGAGTAAAATTATTTAAAATTATATTTAAAACCTCTAAAATTATTTAAAATTATTTAAAACCTTTGAAATCATTTAATACCTCTGTGATCAAATGACAAATCTACGTCAATCGGTATCGGTGCTCCGGGAATGAAGCGACCCTCTTGTATAGCAAGTTCTCTGGTGTGCTCGTTTGGAAAGTCAAATTCCAAGACCTTCCATGAATATATAACTTTTAACTTTTCAAAGCTCTCGGGTCTTCCAAGAAGTAAAAACGATAGAATGGCTCGTAATAACCAACCTGTTTCCTGTTTCATTGTGTATCTGTTAACAAATTACGGCATTTGTCTTCTAAGACTCGAAAGGAAACAGTTTATTTTTAATAAATTTTAATATATTTTTTTAAGAAAATGAGAGAAAGAGAGAAAAAGAAAGAGAGTTTCTAAATACATTTATTAAGAATTATAATAATAATAATAATAATAATACATATATATATATATATATATATATATATATATATGTGTGTGTGTGTATATTATTATTATTATTATTATAATTCTAAAACATCTTATATGTATATATATATATATATATATATATATATATATATATATACATATAAGATGTTTTAAAAGTAAATAGCCAAATTTTAAGAGCATGTCTCATGAGATTATTTTTCTATTCACCAATTATCTACACTGTAAAAAATTTTTGTGTAAATTTACAACTGTTATAGTGGGTAATATTGAGACCAACTATTAAAGGTGTATATTTACATACATTAGTAAATTTACGTTTCATAAATAAAATTATTATTTTAAATGGTAAGTAAGCATCTTGTACTAATAAATTTAGATGTTAGAAGTAGATTTCTAAAAATGTTTATGTAATAATACACACACACACACACACACACACACACACACACACACACACACACACACACACACACACACACACACATATATATATATATATATATATATAATAATAATACATTTTATATATGTATTTATACAATTTCACATATTAAATTTAATTTAAAATTACATACATAATTAGTGTAACAATTATTTGTAACAAAAATATATAAATTCATGTACTTTCACAAAAATTAGTTATTTTACTCTTTATTGTATAAATATTCGTTTATATTTGATAAGAAATTACAATGTTAAAAGTATAATTTTTAAATTTTATATAAATGTTACAAAAAATTGTATATTTAAAATCCAAAAATTACACTTTTAATCTTGTAATTTCTCTGTAATCAAATATAAACGAATATTTACACAATAAAGAGTAAAAAAACTAATTTTTGTAAAAGTACATGAATTTATATATTTCCGTTATAAATAGCGTAATTGTTACACTGATTATATGTGTAATTTTATATACTTTTTTACAGTGTACATACGTTCTCCCGATTTAAATCCTTTAGACTTTTATTTATGAAGACATTTTAAGGTTCTCTTTTATGACGCTTCTATTTTTCTTTATGACACTTATATTGTGGAAGTACTTCAAAATCATATAATTGCTTCGTATGACAAAATACTCCGGAAATTTTTCAAAGATCAATGAGACAAGGAATGCGAGGCATACATTAATGCGAAAAGAAATTACTAATAATTTTTTAATAAAGTTTCTTAAGTTGTTTGTTGCAAATAAAAAATGTTTATGATTTGAAAATAAAGCGTTTACGAACTCGTATTAATATGATTCTTTTTTGTCTTTACAGTGAGTAGAATATACTTTTAAAGTTTAGTCATTTAAGTTGAAAATGATACGTCGTTTGAAGACAAAATGTAATTAAAAATTAGCTATACAATATTAAATATCGAGATATATCTACATATGCTCCATATATTAGACCGGTCGGTATTACAAATTAGTTAAAGCATTACACTTTCTAACTTTATAGACTTTCACCGCAGAAATTGCATAATAAAATTTAATGAAGGGAATGAACTTAATAAGTGTCGTTGATGTAAAAAAAAAGATATGATAAACTTTTGTACTTTATTACATTTTATCTTTTATACAAGCATTCACGAACATTAAAAAAATCTATATCTTTCTTTCATTGAACTTTTTATCTGATATATTACCATTTTAATATATATTAATATATATTAATAAATTAAAATATAAGAGAAACTGGAAAAAATTAAAAATAAAGACTTGATACTCATATAATTAAAAATGTTAGATTTTACGATAAAAATTTCAAAATAAATATATTAAAATGAAAGATATATATTTTATATATTTTTAAATATATATACAAAATACACATAATCTCTTTATTATGTAATATCTTATATGTGAGTCATAAATAATTGTGAGCTACGTGCGCCAGGAACAATTATTATTGTTAACGAATAATTTTTTTTCACTTTTTCTTTAAAAACTGAAACTATTTAAATTTTAAAGAAAAGGTGAAAAAAATATTATGCGTTAATTTTATCCAGGAGTATTTTTTTAAATATGACATCTCTTTTTGATGCTGCAGAAAATTATTTTTAATATATAGATATTAATCTTTTAGAGATTTTGGATATCCTTTAAATATATATATATATATATATATATATATATATATATATTAGATGATTTACAAATAAAATATATATAATAACACCTTCCTATCATTGACAGATATAAGTATTTCCTTTTTTAAAAAAATACGACGCATTTTTAGTGTCAAATCTTCATTCTGCAAGTGATTCTTTTAATAAAAACTTATTACTTTTTTCTGACATTATATAGTTTCGATATTATTTAATTTTTTTAGTGATAAATTCTACGATTTCTGCTCACTTTTTGCGTCACGAAGCATTCAGTGATAATATGAATGGTGACGCAGTTTTACATACGTTTTTATCTCGTCGAGAATTCCAACACTGACATTTGAATGACGTTTTTGCTTGGCTTTTTTCGACAAACAAGAATATTACTAATAAGTATTTTCGTTCTTCGACACTTTCACTGCCGTGGAAAGAAAAATTCAAAGAGACGATTATATTAACGAATAATACACGAAACTAGGATAGGATTTTTCCCTCGCCTTTCTTACATATTTCCTCTTTTTGAAATCACCAAAATTCTAATTCTGCTATAATCAAATCGGACTACCCAACGACTGCCTTCGCGTTTACCCTCTACTGATCATTCGTCACGCTTTTCTTGTAGTTTTCTCCTTTCATATTTAGTATTCCTCGTGTATTTCAACAGATCTTGATGTGCGGGGAACGTAGCTCACACTCTCTCTCTCTTTCTCTCTTAATACAAATGATATAATTCAATATAAATAATACTTGGAAAAGACAAGAGGTCCTCTTCTGACTTCACGCTCCGAACTAGAGGACGACCGAGAAACGACTGCAAGATTTCTCATGCCGGCGCGTAACTTTTCAACGCGTTCGAACATCTCCGCTCCACCGGACAGAAATGCGTTAAGGAGAGGTGGATACCTTCTGTTTACTAAGTCCTGTTCTGTCCGAGATAAGAATGTCTTTTCATAGGTCATGGTATACAAGGCGTACCTGCAAGTGTCTCCTTTTTTCTGCATCAATTAACGCACGGGAACTATTAATAGAAATATCAGCAAGCGTTGACGAAAGTTAAGAGAGTTGCAGCTTTGGAACGCGCATTGCGCGAGCGATTATTTATCATTTTGCTGAAGTAAGAAGATTATCTGTTCAATGGGAAGAAAAAAGAGACAATTATCTACAGTGATTTACACGAGGCGCGTTTGTGTTGCGGTCAGCGTATTGATTGGCATGCATGTAAATGTAATCACACTTCAATTCCGGTTTTATCTCAGTTTTAAATTTATTTGCGTGTATTTATTATCGTGTAAAAAAACGACGTATTTCGAAGATAAGATTCGGCGAATTTTGGGCAATTCCAAACATTGCGATTATTTTACAAAACTGTTTCTTATCTCCGTTTAACATTTAACACAAATATGTAAATAAAATATTATCTACACAAATGTAGTTTTTTTATTTCTTTTATTTACATGATATGCAAAGCTTTTATTATAGAGAAAAAGAGATAAAGAAAAAGAAAGAATTAGAAACAGTAATAGAACCATCTTCTTTTATTTTGTAGTATTTAATAAATATACGAATAAAATTATAATTTTTAAAAATACATTCAATAACAAAGTTTTGTTTCTTTGCGATAAATATAATGATACAACCGAAATTATTGTACAATGTATAATTTAAAAAATACTTTAAACAAATTGTGTCTTCCAAATGTGAAAAATATCTCCTTCGTCTTATCTATAAGTACTATTATTCACCATTGTCGGTATTTTAAAAAATTAAGATTGAAAGGATGATAAAGCAAATGATGATATCATTTAGTAATGGATACTATTATTTGCATAAACATCCTTTTTTCCAGCGATATCGATTATCGATATTTTCTGAAATCAATAGCGAAACGCATATATACAGAAGCGTCTGCATATATATGTATGTGTATTTGCACGTTAAGACGTTTGCATTCAACTCATTTGTCATTATGGGAGATTCTATGCGTAATATCGATTATTATCATACTACGCGATAAGACCAGGATTTTCAATGCTTGATTGCGGAATAACATGATGCATCTGCAAATAATGTATGATTAATAACATGTATACGTTTACTGATAATATAGTAATAATATATAAATAGTTATTGTTGCTATAGATACATTTAAACGGATATTAATTATAAATTTATAAAGTATATATTAAATATATTAATCACTTGAATTTTTGTAGAAAAATACAAGTTTATTAAAAAAAATAAATAAATAAAAAGCGGATTAGATTCTTTTATTTCTCTATAAAATTCCGCATCATTTATCCAATATAAAAAGAGTTTCCATAAACTTTAAGGCATCATAAAAAAATCTCTATTTTTAATAAAGAGTTTTATTAAAACAATTTATAACATTTTACAATACTTTGAATTTCTTTGATATTTTTATGATTTCTATGATTAATTTTAAAATGCGTAAATTTGTAATTTAACAAATAAATGGAACATTAGTGGGTATTTAAATTTAAGCATCTGTATTTAAAAAACACTTACAAATCCCGCAATCATATTTAATAGATTACAAATTTTTAAGCACATGGTTTTTTATGATATTTTTCATCAAATACATGTTATACGAGAGTTAATTATTCTTTAATCTATAAATTTATTACATAACACTTTATTTATTAAGATATTAATACACTCATATTTTAAATGGATTTATGAGATATTAATATGCTCATTTTAAATGATGAAACAGGTTTAATGTTTGCTTATAAGAAAATTGGATCGCAATAGGTTAGACAGATATTTTTAGTAATCTTTTTTATAATTTTCTTTTATCATTGAATCATTTTAACGTGTTATATTAACAGTCTTTTGCTTAAAAATTTACCTAATCTCTTTACATGCATTAAATTGACTTTAAATGAGAAAACGTATAGAAAAGCATGCGTTGCATGCTGAAAACTGAAAAAAAACATATTAAAAATGGATACTATATTAAAATATCACAAGCTTGTAATATCGCAAGCTTTTTGCGAATGTAAGTTATTGAGCATATTGGATATCAAGCTGTATAAAGAATGTGAAAGAATGCGAGTCGATATTACGTATATTGAAGAATTTGCGAACTCGGCAACATACTGAATTAAACTTAATTTTCCGATAAAATCGAGCAATATTTGAATAAAAAATAATGAACTTTAATTATATATATTTAAGAAATTAATTAATTAATTTAATTTTTTTAATATTTAATATAAGAAGAAATCAAAGATTACTGTACATATTTTAAGTTGTGTGTTTAAAAAAAAAATAAACTCGGAAAAAAGTATTTTTTTATTATTTTAGGGATTTTTTAAGATAACGCTTTGAAAAAATTAAAAATTTAAATAACGTTTGCAAAGTTTACACATATATAACGATTTTTAATTGCTACATTCTTGTAATAGAATCGGTGCTCCAAATCGGAGAACATTTAAACATACAAAACATTTTATTTTACAAACATCTACAAAGCATTTTTTATACATGACAGACATTTCTTGCTTTTCTGCTATATATTTATCACAAATTTCATTTCTATATATTATAAGTTCCACTGACTTTTTTCAAACATCAATGTACTGGCACAATCTCTTTTTCATTTCATTTCCACAATTAATGTTTTCTTTTTCAGAATCCTAAGGTATTATTGTAGAAATTTAATGAAAAATACGGATCAATCTGTTGATTAAAAAACGGATTAAGCGCTTGATTATTCGTTTTGATCCTCATGATGCGGATATTAATTTGACGAGTATCAATTTGTCTCAGGAAAAACTTGTGGAATCTCGAAGACATTACCCAGTAGTTGCCATTGTCACGTTTCGCCCATAATATCTCGGCAGTAAATTGTAATTCCTCTGGACTATAAGCGAGTATTCTAAAAAAATAAAAAGAATAATTTGAATAATATTTATAGAATTATAATTATAATATATATAATAAGAACATAATTCCTACTTCGTAATTAATAAATTATTAGTCATCAAAATGAGAGAATAATCGAATGAAAATAAGCATTAAAAATATTATTTTTGTCTTATATTCATTGTGCAATAACAATAAGATTTCAAAATTTTTTCTAGATTAATAAATCTCTCAGTCTCTCTTATAAGATATTATATTACTAAAAAAAGCATATGAAGATGATGTCAGTCGCGCGAAATATTTTTCGACTAATAACATTTACAAGAAATAAAATATTTGCAAATCGTTTTTTCCATTTTTTCAAACAATTAACTATGGAAAAACAACTGACGTCATAGCAATTATATTTCCTTATGGAAAATCCTAACAGTGTGACACTATACTTTAGTAATTTAGTATTTAAAAAAAAGATTGACCTATACAATATATTCTAATTATTGCGATCATTGGAGTTGGCAAAACCGGTTTTAAGATTTTCTTATAGATTTTGTTACCCTCAATTATAGAAACTTATTATAAAAATTAAAAAAACTTATTATAAAAATAATACATATCTTACAATACAGAATAATCAAATTATTTTTCTCTGTTTTTTTTTTAAGATTATTCTTGCTAAACATCAATTTCTAAAAATTTATTCGCATTAGGCCGACATACTGTGTATTTATCTGTCTTTTTCGAATAATTTAATAGCTAAAAACACATCTTCAAAATTGTTTGTCGCACCTTTGCTGATTGGTTCGCGGTTGCCACGACGCAATCGCGGTCTCGGTTAAAGGGGCGAACAAGATCGTATCATCCTGGGGATTCACAGCCAGTGGAAGACCTTGACTTGACTTTCTGCCGATCGTGGTTACAGGTAACTGTTGCCCCAAAGAAAGCGGTCCGGCTTGCAACGCGGAGGTGGATACGCTGTAGATACGATCGGTCGCCAGAGGTTGATAATAAACGGTTCGGAGTCTCGGTGAAAATGCTATACCCACTATACCGTCCAGGAACTCGAAAGTGACGCTTCCAATCTGCGGAGAAGTGCCTATTATAATATACGAGATGCGTGCAATATATGGAAGAAATTTTATTGACTCTGCACTCGAATATATCGTGTATCATATATCATGCGTATATTGCACACGTTATATTTTATAATATTTTTATATTTTATATTTTATATTTTATAATATTTTCTCTAATTAGGATAAATTATGTTATTGAATATTATAAATTTTTATGACAGGTATTGAACGGTATTTATTATATTAACCTATATAAAATTCAAAAATAATCTATTACATATTCGAGAAAATAATGAAAAACACCAATAAATTTTTTGAATACAATACATTATTAAAATTTGTGTGTTGTAATATTTTTTGAAGATAGCGCGATAAATGTTAGACATTAAATGCGATCATTTTTTGTAATTATTGCAATTGGCGAGAGATAATAAAAAGAGAGATAATAAAACTGTAAGAAATAGAGAGAACAACGTGTCCTTGTTTACATATGTATCTAGTGATATGTCAGTAGTGGGGTCTGCCACAAAAGGTATCGAGAAAGGAAAAGGTCAAGCACCGATATAAAAGAGACATGTAAAGAGATGGATAGATTATTGTTCTGTCAACGTTCATGACAAGAAGTGTTGAAAATTAAGAAACATATATTCAAAATTGTTATTCAATAAAAAATTCTTCTATCTTAGCAGCCTTTAATAATAAATTTTCCGTCTCCATTCTATCGTAAAATTAGTATTTCTTTGATATTATTTTTTTAATAATATTTTTGTTTTTATTATGACTACTTAAATGTGTATAAATAACTTATAAAACATATTTAAAATAATTTATATAACGAATATGTTTTAATTTTATTTTTTATATAATGCATGATTTTTTAAATAATCGAATCTTTTATCCTCACTTTATATGTTGTTTCGTCCGGATTAGGAAGCATGGATGCGTGAAGAAGGCTCCAGCTCCTATCCTTAGCAGCATCGAAGACAAGTATTCCTAAAAAGATATTAGAATTTTCTAAATACATATATTTTAAGGTTTAAGATATTAAGTTTTCTTCAAGAATTTATAAAGAAAAAATTTTATACAATACATAATTCCTTATTATAATAAAAAAATAACTAAATAGCTTGAAAAAGATAATTTCAAGAGAAAAAAATTATGTTTCTTGAAGAGAGGTATTTGCTATTTCTTATTTAATTCTCTTATATATTTCAATATCATAATAATGATTTATTATTTTTTTTTATCGAAATAAATCAAAAATATTATTGTAGAAGATTTAAAGTACCATATTTTCTTAAAAATATTTTTCCCAACGATTTAATTAAAAATGATTTACCTGGACCAAGAGTATCTGTTATGTAGAGAAATACATCATCACACGTTTTTGCCGAAACTTCATCAATGACAAAATTGGTCAGCAAACTATCTGGCCTCAACACCTAAACAGAGATAAATAATAATAATAACCGAAAACAATTACTTTTACACATAATGATGTTTTCTCAATGTAACTTGTTTCTCAAAAGCTAACGTATTATTACAAATCAATTCTATTTTGCTGTTTATAGATATGTAAAATAATAAAACCGGTTTTCAATTATTCTCTCTAGTTGTTATTTGAAATTATTATACTAGTCATTTGCAGATAATTTCGCCCCTTCTAACATTTTCTTTTGTGATTCTACTTATAATGTTATTACTGTCATATAACGTACTTAAAATAGAATACGTCTGAATACATATATGTATTAGAATGTGTATGTATAAAGTTATATAAATAAATTTTTTAAATTTCTTGTCACATTTAAAAACAGCTTAATAAATAAAAAATATCTTTCCTATACAAAGACATTAATAAAATTCACAAATATTGTTCTAGATATATTTTTCCCTATAAAAATATTTCTCTACTTTCAGTTATCTTTATATATATATATATATATATATATATATATATATTTATTTATTTATTTATTTATTTTATATATTTATTAAATTTTTTTAATTTATTTAATTTATTTAATTTTATATATTTATTTTATAGCTTCTACTTAAAAATTAGTCCAAGCTCATTTATTAACGCGTTCACTTCACTTTTCATAACAAAGAGAAATATCACTTTGCTCACCTCACGCGGAAAAGTGACGTGACGAACCACCTGATTGGTCTTTAAGTCGAAGACCACGACTTTCGGCGGACAGATAGGCATAAAATCATCGACTGATGTCATGACTCCGGCATCAACAACCCACAATCTGTCACAGCTATCGATCCTGGTTCGATACACTGAAATCAACTTAGTGCAATTGATTTCTCCCTTTCCAGCTCCGTGCCAATCCCACGAAGGATAAGCCTGAAGCTTCGGGCTGCTTCCCAAGGGTTCCTTTCTGGAGAAGAAGCTCAAGGTGGCCGGCACACCAGCTCGTAGCCTGGGCGTGCTGACAAAAATTCTGTCCCAAGCTATCTCGATACCAGTCAGCACTATATTTTCCTGCTGATACTGATCGAGAAAACCGCGATCATATGGCAATGCGAAATCGAGCAACTGCCATTGTGCCACGGTTTCTAATGTTTCTGCCTTCGTCCTGACGTACAGCAACAACAGAATCGTCGATAGCAACAGCACGTACCTGAAAAAAATTCAGGAAATAAGCAGCTATTGAAATTAATTTTTTCTTTTATGAAGAAAAACGTTCATATTATTTTTAAAATAATCTAAAGAGGAAAGGTAGCTTAAATAAGAGAAAGGAAAGAGTAAATTCTTAAATAATAATATATTCTTTATATATTTCTATTTAAATTATCTATTTCCTTCTTTCCTACATCGTGATTATCTGCTCACTTCATGTTTCAAGAATCAGGAGATAAAATTCTTCAGTAGATCCAAGCTGTATCACTCTTCTAGCAACACAAGAGACAGGATAGCGTGACGATAACTATCGCTGGAACTAAATAGGTTCGCGCTGCACAAGCGTGAACTATCGCGAGAAGTATACCGGGCTTGTGCCACAAGCTTCACCGATACAATACTGACTGATTCAATTTTCCAGCATAGACCTGGAACTTGCAGTGCACTAGGAGACAGGATACTGTAACTCGAACGCATTGTGTAACGAGACACGAATGCACTTTTACTCACAACGCATACGCACAATCGCTTTATCTAAGGGGCAATACGCCTACGAGAACAAGCCATTTCGGGACTAGAATTCGAACTACGCTCAATTTCGTGCAAATCTCTCTTTAAAAAGTGGGGAGAAAGGTAGCTCGGGACTACTTGACATCTACACCTTTGTATTTATTCTAGCTTACGTAGATCTGAGATTAATAGTATCGCTTTCCTCGCAATAAAATATTGCGGAAAGGAAATTAAAAGTGAAAATCCTTCATGCACGAATAATCGATGCTGCGATAAGCTTGATGAGGAACTTTTCGTAATGATGATTTAATTAAATGACTGATAACGAAGTAAAATATCATATGATTTGGTTTTATTATATTGTATTATATTATATTGACTTTTACGATATATAATAATGTTATATATAATTGCTTTATTATAGTAATAAATATATACTTTTCTTTGTAAAAGCAAAAATTATAAAAATTATCCAAAGATTATATATGTATATTTCGAGTAAAACACTCTTAAAGAATTCTAAATTCTTAGAGTCCATGTATTTGTTTCTAAAATTTGATTTAGTATTTTTTTAGAATTTTTTTATTGAAAAAAATTACAATTTTTTCCATTTATATTTTCTACACATAATTATTTTCTGTCCGATTTTTATTAAAATAATAATTATTAATACATACATATATATATACAGCTTAGATTCAATAAATAAATTCATTTTAAATTTTATTTCATTTCGATAAAACGTAAATTAAGTAATTACTACCATTGAACTATTCAACTAATTGAAATAGTTACAAAGCACGCGTAACACATTACGTTATGTTTGTGCGTGATATTGATTGAAATGTTACGAGATATCCCATGATCAATATAGTTTCTCTACCGAGTTTTTCTTTCATTAAGTAAGTTACGCGTTTTGATTATTAGCGAAACTTAAATAATTGTGTTTGCATAAGTTAATACAATTGCATGATCTACAACGTTTCAGTTTTTCACACACACACACACACACACACACACACACACACACACACACACACATTATACATTATATATATATACATATGTATATATATATATATATATATATATATATATATATATGTATATATATATAATGTATAATGTGTGTGTGTGTGTGTGTGTGTGTGTGTGTGTGTGTGTGTGTGTGTGTGTGTGTGTGAAAAACTGAAACGTTGTAGATCATGCAATTGTATTAACTTATGCAAACACAATTATTTAAGTTTCGCTAATAATCAAAACGCGTAACTTACTTAATGAAAGAAAAACTCGGTAGAGAAACTATATTGATCATGGGATATCTCGTAACATTTCAATCAATATCACGCACAAACATAACGTAATGTGTTACGCGTGCTTTGTAACTATTTCAATTAGTTGAATAGTTCAATGGTAGTAATTACTTAATTTACGTTTTATCGAAATGAAATAAAATTTAAAATGAATTTATTTATTGAATCTAAGCTTCTCATTTAAATATTCTTATCACACATGCATCTTTCCGTTCTTTAAAAAATTTATGTGGTATCCGTTAGAATCGATGTACGTTTAATTTATTATATACATATTCAATGTCTCATAAATTAATTGTACATTAGAATTTATAGAGAGCTAGATTAGAATTTATAGAGAAAGAAAATAGATTCCAGAATTTTATAAGATAAAAAAATTTAATTCGAAACATTTAAAATGAAATATCTCTTGTATATAAATCACCATTAATTTGACACTGCGATATTACAAAACACCATAAAATACTACAACATGAAAATGACACTTGAGCTGGAGCTATAGTATTAGAATCAATACGTAAACGTCCTTGATTTCGATCGAAAGTGCCGGAACTAAAGACCGCACCCATTGAACTAGATACAATTTACTTATAGGTGCGATCAAAAGAAAACATGATAAATTAATTCGACATTCCTATATTATCATCATGTCACAATTTTGCTGCTTGACATATTTATCGGTATACGTAATTTTTTATGATGTTATATATGCATGCTTGCACACAAAATCATATATATATAAAGTTTTGCTATTTTATATTAACTATTAATTACTAAAACATTAACTATTAATTATTTTTATTTATATAATAATTATTAAAAATAAATTATTATGTAAAAATTAAAAATAAAATATTAAGAATAATAAGCAATATTAATCTATTTATATTATTTATTATAAATAAAAAAATACATAAAAAGAAATGTTTCTTATATATATTTTTTATATATTATTAATTATTTCTTCATTTTTTAGAATATCACACATTTGCTAAATTTTGTTCGATACAAAAAAATCGCAACGCATTTGCATTCCATTTTTTGTATTACTATCTCGAAATCTCCGCTACAACTGCTAATTAAAAGGCTGAATAATGTGATGTTTCAAAGTGCACAATCTTTAATCGTTGCAATTCTGTGCAATTCTTAGCTCAAGATAGGGAAATGAGGTATGGCAATAGGGGATAAGGCTCGATTATTCGATCACGAACCTCTCGTGACTCTGCGTTGTATCGGAGAAAGAGATCGGATATTTTGTTGTTACCCAATATCGCGCACGAAACACCATGGGAAATACCATGCAATCACGATCGCCCTTCATTCTCACGAAGTGGAAGTGCCTGGCTATCGACCTGGAACGATATCGACTTGGAAAAATTAACAAATAAATATTCAACCTGGGGATAAGAGTGAATAGATAGTTATAAAAGACGTTTACACCAAGGTGATTATCTGGCATGATAAACACTTTTGCTTTACGTGCTCCGTTTACTCCGAAACGATTCCATCGGTTCAATTTTATTTTAATCTCTCTCATATTCAATGTCTTCTGATGCTATCAGAATCAAAATATCATATTGATATATAATACTTTTGATAATGAAATAATTATAAAATAAAAAATCATATGGTATTAAAAATAAAAAAATTTTATACATACTCATTTCTTTTTATCTTTTCATGAATTTATTTTCTGATTATTTAGGAATTTTAATCACGCATTATGCAATAAGAATTGAATTAATAATGTGAATTTTTTGAAACAGAGCATTTACTTCGAGTTATTCAAGCGTGACTTGAGTAAATTTATTGAGGTACATTTGTGTAAATAAATATCAGCTGTCACTTAAACTACACATATCAGATATATAATTATATTCAGTAAACATATAATTAACGAATATTTTATTCATTACTACTTAATAGATCATATCAAGTCAACAAGTATTTCGAAAGCATTTGTATATGTTTAGAATAAATAAGATAATGCAAGAGATAAAATTTAAAAACACAACTCTCCTTCTTTCATTGAATTGAAAATAAATAGCGATTCGTACCTTTCTCTATTTGAGATGTTTTTGTACTATCGATCGATTAATCGCTTATAGTGTAAATTTATTAATCGCTTATAGTGTAAATTTAATTTTGACTGTTTTGAATGAAACCTGTGCGGTGTCACTTGAATAAAATTGAAATTTACAATGCGCGTATTAACATTAATTCACGTTCATTAAATGTTACGACTTATATATACTTATATGTTGTACGAGTAAGTTCATTAATTGAGAACAAATTATAGCTCAGTTGATCAAATACGATGGAAATGATCATTAAAGGATAAATTCAAGAACAAATATCATTGTCATTATAATTTGTTGATGTCAATCTGCATCGAATTTTGTTCGTATAAAATTTTTTCTCTTGTATTAAACAATGCGACATCATTCATAATAAAACACATAATTTTATCATAAATCAGTAATATCATTATTTTATCTCTGATAATATTATTCAACTTGAAGATAATTTAGTAATATTTTAAATATAATATTTATATATGTTATTATGTTTCATTTAAATAAAGAACTAAAATTCCATTTTGTTATATCAGTTGCTAATTAAATGAAATAGAATCGCTCCAATTTACTCCAGTATTATTTTGTAATAAAGCTCGAAGCTATAAATATCGCGAAATTAGAATATTAAAATACACGTTATGTAATATGTAATTAAATACATTCATAGATCAAACTTTCGTAGTATCGTATAAAACCAGAAAGGATACAATTTGATCTTGAATATCAAGTTTCATTTTGAAAGTTTAACATATCGTATAACATTTCGGTTCAATGTCCGTTCCAGAAGACGTGAAAGAGACAGAAATATTCATTGTAACGTATATTGTAAACAGCTGTTAGTAAATCAGACTTGAGAATTCGAAAGGAAAACCAGTATTGAAAATCAAACTCGTTCTCGTTAATTATTCCAAGTGTACGAGTTGTGGAACTGGATCGACGTAGAGAAAAAAAAGTGTTGACGAATCACCTCCTAATCTAGATACAACACACGCGATGTGATTACCTTTTTATATTTCTTAATTGCACACAATGCACAATTTGCTAATGTTCTTTCTTTCTTTCCTTTTCAAATTATATCTTTTAATGTATAATTTTATAATTTGACTGAAGCAAAAAAAAAAACGTTCTCTTTAATCTGTCTATTTAAAAAATGCGTAAAATCAAATTATTTAATTATTTAATTTATTATTATATTAATTGATTATTTAATTGAATCAATTATAATATTAATTATAATAATCAATTATAATATTAATAATATTTATAATATTTATAATATTAATAATTAATCAATTTATTATTATATTAATTGATTATTTAATTGAATAATTTAATAATTATAATCAAATTATTCAACTGATTTCAATGGGAAAAAATTGAGTTAAAATAATTGGAATAATTGAACTTCTTTAAGATTCATCCAAGCAAATTTAAAGCGCTGCACGTGCGAAGGAAAAGTTAAAAGACGCTGAATTTTTAAAATACATTTATTTCTTCGCTCGTCGAATGTCAGCGATTGACATTTTGCTTACTGTTGAAGAGTTTTTGCTTCGTCGGCTATGCAAAGAACGCATCGCAGCCGACATAATTTTTCGTTGCACTCAAATTTCGACGCTAAAAGATGATAAAGTAAACGTGCATATGCCTATATGTGTGTGTATTTTTTACTTCTATGTCTACATTTATAGCAATGGAGATACGACAATCGGCGCAAGGTACGTTATTTATAGCGTAGGTGGAGAAGTAAACATCGAGAATTATGAATGAATTGAATGAATCGATTTTCCGAGCCAAAAAAAAAAAATAAAAACCGGAAAATCCCTTATTAGCGCGCCCTTTTTAATAACAATACCATCTCCTTGACTAGTCGCAATCGGCAGAGCGAGAGGGACTCTCTCTCTCTTTCTTTCTTGCTCTTTACATAAGATTCAACGCGTGATTGGCGCCGCAACCGACGGTGCCTTGCATGTAATCCGGGAAGTTGCTCTCCAGGACACGCATCTGGCCCCTCTTGTAATCGGGCACGATGTGCGTGGCCAGGGCGCACTCGGTGCTGGTGTAGACCGGCTGGAAGTTGGCGGACACGAAGGGTGTGTTGGTGTCCCATCTGTAGACCTCGGCGTTACCCTCGTAACGGAAGAAGAGCGCGTTGCCGTTGTCGGTGCCCAGGACGACGAGACGCGCGGGCTTGATGCCGAGATCGTGTATCTTGCCCTGGGTGTATCCGTTCCGGAGGTGATCCGTTCGGATGGAGAACAGATGGCTGGCGCCCAGGTACGTGAAGATGAGGCAGGTGCTACCGTCCTGGTGGTGCATCAGCGCCTCGTATAGCACGTCCCTGCGGTTACAGTTCGTGGTCACGGCCTGAGGAAGGATGACGCGGTAGCCGCGACCGGAAGTCACGTCGTATACCAGGATCGCCCTCGAAGCCGCGTCAGTCACGTAGATGAACACCCGTCCGTCCGAATTGTAGTCGGCCACGACATACTGCAGTCGGGACGCGGTGTTTGTCAGGCCGGACAGGTCGACGATTTTTACGACCTGGAATAGAAAATGACCATTTTGCATCTTTCTTGATTGATTGAAGAACAGAAAGAATATATACTGCAAAATTCTGTCTTTTATTTTCTCTCTTTTTTTCTCTTTGCGATCCAAGTCCAGTCATAAATTTACTGTCAAAAAGCAATATTCCTGGCGATTATATAAATTTTCTAAACTTAATAATTTAATAATTTAATAAATAAAATTTAGTAAACTTATTTAATTAATTTTGAAAGAATTTAAGATTTACAAAATTAAATATATAAAAAATAAGGATATATATATGTATATAATAAATATGAATTATTAAATTTAATTATTAGAAAATTTAAAAAATAAAGTTACTTTATAGGTTAAAATAAATTTTTGAATAAAAATGTAAATTATAAATTTTAAAAAATAAAATATATAAATATGAAAAAAAATGGCAAAAAAATAAAAATTAATGAAATTTATCAATAAATATTATTAATAAATAATTATTTAATTATTAATAAGTATTATATATCATAAATTAATTATTAAGTATTTAATTAATATTTAATACTTATATATTTATACTATTCTTTAAAAAAAAATTTATTTTTCTCAAAATCAAGAGATAAAGATAGCTTTGCAATTTCCTTAACAAACTTAGATCTTACTTCAATTGGCATTAAATTTCAATATAATTATACGGATTAAAAGATAATAAATGGTTTTTTAATTGTATATTTCGCGGCGATTACGATAAGAAAGGCGTTTAAAATTCTTATTATATAAGACTCGCGAAAGCGAAAGGGAAAAGCAACTAATGCTGACTGAATAAATAACGTGTACGAATAATACACAAATGCTAACGAAAAATTACATAAATAAAAATACAAATTCTCTTTTTCATCAATAAATTTAAATACATAAATATATATTAAAACGCTTCTCTTTCTATATAAATAACAAGTTGCAGAGAATTTCAGGTATATTGCTCTTATCCTTTGAAAAAATACCTTCAGAAAAGAATTAAACAACATAAAATTTATATCTTTATATGTCCACATAAACAACACACATACACGCCGTTCTATCGCTAGCTTGAATTGATACGCGTGAATTATCTCACCTTGCCGGTTTTTATGTTCAGGGCGACAACCTTTGGCGGGCATTTTCGTTCGGGCTGTTCGAGGGAATTTACGACGCCCGTGTCCAGTGCCCACAGGATTTCTTGAGGGTCCAAGTAGATGTCCACGACGTTTTGCAACGCGGAACACGTTCCTTCTTCTTGGAGGGACCAACAAGGGAAAGGGAGAAGATTGGCCTGGCAGTTCTTATCCTTCAACGACACTCTGGCCAAGGTCACTGGCACGCCAGGCTTAAATCTGAAGAAACGTTTTAAGCAAATATGTTCTTAGGCTCTTGAAATTATTGATTTTCCCTATTTTTTTTTCGGAAAATGTTAACACAAAATCTCTTCCGGCAATTTAAATTTTGTATTACTTCTCCTGAAATTATGATGCTTCATAAATAACAATCATAAAGGGTAAAATCTGTTATAAGATACATTAATTATGTGAAATGAAATTTTTTGCATCTCTCGATTGATTTATATCGGATAAATTAAAGATAGATATTAGTTAAAATTACGTTGTACGTTTCAGTTATTTTTCATGTTATGTTTACGGATGTAAATATTTCTTTGCAATACAATACGGTTAATGCCCGAATGATGTAACGTTATTACGAAGGTAGACACTTATAACACGTGATCCTTGACAAGGTCTACAGCCTTGTTTCTCTCGATTGCCACGTTCAAAGCGAAACTTGAAAGTGATAGTTTTATCGGAATTTTACCAGCAGACGATCGCTACATCTTTCCGCATCGGAGAAATTATGATTACGACCGCACCTCCGATTACGATCGACTTGCGATCTCGTTAGCGATTTCTACAAGAACTGCGTGTACCGCTTCTGACGTAACGCACGTGCGCTTACCTCTTATGGGACCAGTAAACTCGCTCAAGAATGCGACTACCTTTTTATCCTGATTTGGACGCCATCGAACGTATGATTTCGTGAATCGAAGGTACAAATACGATCTATTTCTTTATATAGATTTCTCGAACTTTTCGTTGCAATAACAGCGTGACTTTCATTAAAGAAATAACACAAATGACGATGTTGATTTTTTTGTAGAATTATTTTTGCAGATTTTTTTATGCGCAGACACATATTTATAGATATAAAATTTGAATTTTTAGAAATATAATAATTTGTTATGTATTTAAAAATTTTATTATAGCAGCAAAAAATCCACCTCAATTTACGAAATATTATAATCCTTATTACTTATATATTTTATTATTATTACATTAATTTTTTCATAAGATAATTCAAGAAAATCTGTTTTCATAAACACGTTTTAAATAAGCGAAAGTTTTTATTAAATAATGCATCATTAAAAATTTGATGCAGTATTAGAAATTTATTTATTTGCACTCTGATTTATTTTTGTTTTTTTCCTGTAGAATAATTTTATTATACATAATGATAAAGAGAATCAAAAAATTATAAAAATATCAAAAAATTCTAAAAATATTTAAAAATTATAAAACATCAAAAAATTATAAAAATATCAAAAATTTATAATTGTATAATTGTAGCAGAAACAATATTAAAAATTATTCAAAACAATTTTGGAAATTAATAAATTGTATAAATTGTATATATTTTTCATACCTAGGTAAAGCAAGGACAGCGTCGTCCTTATAGATCGCAGCCCTGGTGGCGAGGACATTCTTCGAGATGTAACGACCGCTGGTCCTGAACATGTTCTTTGTGGCCGAGCAAGGCCATTCGAAGGATCCGCCGGTCCAGGCGATGTTCTTGTCATACTTTTGTTCGTTAGCACCGACGAGAGCAACGGCGATGATAAACGTCACCGCCCGTGCGAAGAACATGCTTTCCCGTTCGAGTTTTTCCCGTTTCTATCAAATTATGTGTCTCGGGCCGCGTCTCTTTTGGCGAACGAATCGAATCGTAAACTGTAGGATCCTCCGAATTACGCCAGTTTTATAATCCTGTCGTGTAACGCAGCCGCTCGTTACGAAATGTCTCGGTTTAAAAAATATTTAATTGCGATGCGCAACACATCATCACGTTCATTCAAGGAGTTCCGCACACGAGTCGGTGCTAAATGCGTGGGATGGAACTGCCAAGACCGGTGGTAAACATAAAGAATTAGTTGTAAACAAAAAACAATGTATATACATGTATGAACTTATAATTTAATTAGTTAACAAATCGTTAAATTATTTTTTCTGTTATAAATCGATTCTTCCTATTTTCTTGAAATAAGAATATATTTTATCTATTAATAATAAATAAATTGACACAATATATTTGCATAATTTAAAAATTATATATAATAATAATACAAAAATGCAAAAATTATAATTAAACAATTAGTTAACATTTAGTTAACATTAATTAACATTATTCCTATTTGTTTAATTAATGTTAACAATTAGTTAACATTAATTAAACAAATAGGAATAAAAACAAAATATTTAATAACTGGAAATAAGAGAAAGTATTATTTATATATAATTAAATTAATTTAATTTATATATAATTAAATATTATTTATATATTAAAAAAGAAGAAACAAATTTATTAAAATATTTTAAGCAGTTGCATTTTTCTAAATGTATTTAATAATAAAACAATAGAAACTTCAATTTTAAGGTAAAAATTAAAGGATAAATATATATGGATATATAAGGATAAATATATATATATATAAACATCTTAAATTAGTTTTGAAGGCAAATATTAAGGATAAACATAAAAAATTATTAAAAACGGAAAATATAAAAGAGTTGACAAAACGAATGAAATAATAATTTCCTGATACAACTGCCTGGTTTATCGCATCTTCACTTCTTCCTGGATTCATTATTATTTACAAACGACATTCGAAAAGGCATTTCACAAGGCATTTCCTCTTCGCGAATTCCCTCTTAAGCAAGAAAATTGTTACAAAGTATTGCGTAAGAAAGCGGTAATATGCGCATAAAAGTGTAAACAATTTCAATCGGCTCATAATCAGAGCGTATAAGTATAAAACAGTATAAATGAGTAGCGCATTCAAAGATTTTCGTCCAACTGATTACACACGGGAAATCTTGTAAGTTTTCACATCCTTCTTGCCACGCCTTCAACAGTTGTTCTTATCAATTCTTGCAATTTTTCAATAATTTTCTCGAAAAGATCTACATAAAATAAATTTAATAATTCTTTAATTATTCTTGATTTAATAATTAAATTTCCATTGTACGCTCTTGTAGACTACCCGAAGACACGCATTATTCTAACTTGTCGTACAAAAAGAGCGCAGGATGAAAATCCCGAGGAGCGCTCTGAGCCTGGTGATCCTGGCGAGTGGCTTATTGCTGGTAGTATGCGACAAGCAGTTGATGCCGGAGCTGTCGTTTTCCTTGACGGGCTACAGTCTGGACTGGCCATGCCAGAGCACGAGGAACATCTACGAGACGAGCGGACGTTACATTCCCAGGAATGTCATCGGCACCAGAGCGCAGATCTACAAGGAGGACATGATCATAGCGATGCCGCGCTACAAACCGGGTGTACCCTTCACCTTAGGTGTCATGTCGCTGAAAACGAAGGACTGCGCGCCGAAGGTGACACCGTTCCCTTGTTGGGCAATTCAGGAAGAAGGCAACTGCCAGGCCCTGCAGAGCGTCGTGGACATGGTCCTGGACATTCAGGAAATCCTGTGGGTATTAGACGTTGGTATCGTAAACACTTTGGAACAACCGGTGCGCAGGTGTCCTCCAAAGATCGTCGGAATTAACGTCAAATCAGGAAAGGTACGGAAAATTATAATTAAAAATGTAATTGCAAGACACATGTCTAATATTTTTTTTGGAATAATTAAAATCCTCTTTTTTGCATAAAATCTTTAAAATTATTATCATTTGTTTCTGTGATAATTTAATTGTTGGCTAGCGAAGTATTTAATTTAGCAAAAGTCAAAATTAATTTATTAAAATCCATAATATAAAAATAAAATTATAGAACTCTGGAGACAGGTGATCGATATCAAAATATTTCTCATGACAGGTCGTGAAGGTGATCGACTTGAGCCTCCTGGTAAATCCGTTGTCTCGTTTGCAATATCTGACAATCGATTACGCAGAAGATGGCCAGGTATACGCATATATAACCGACGCCGCCTCGAAATCCATCATTGTTTACAATATCACCGCGGATAAAGGACACAAGGTAATCCTTCCGAATGCCGTTACCACCGGTGTCCAACGAAGAGACGTTCTCTACTCGACGCTGGTGAAGAAGACCTGCGGTACACCAGTGGTGTACTTCACTTATCTGGGATCCAATAGGCTTTTCGCGATCAAGGCTGAGAATCTGAGGAAAGGTCTCACCCAAGGATCGGTCGCAGATGTTGGGCCGAAGCAAGAGAAGCTGGTTCTCCTCGGTAGCGATAACGGCTGCGCCATGTTCTTCAGATACAAGGGTAAGTTTCGCTAGAAAATTAGAAGAATAGAAAGGAAGGACTGACACATTAATTAGTTATTTTTGTAGAATCATAAAAAGTTGTTATATCAAAAAATAGTTAAAATTTACATTAGGTGCTTTTACAGGCTTTGTCTGTTTCTTTTAAAATAAAGAAAATCTATGTCTATAAAACCTCTCTATCATGAGTCGTAATTTTGAGAGGAAACTTCTATCTTCTAAAACTTCGATCTTCTAAACATTTTTAATTAATTTTCAGGTGACTCCGATATCTACATGTGGAATACCGAGACGCCCTTCAGGCAAGAGAACTTCGTGATGGTGCAAAAAGGCAACGATTGTCGATTGGCAACCCAAGTGGTACCTGGATATAAGAGACTTATGTGGGTCATCGAGAGTAACGTCCAGGATTATATACAGAACACCGTGAGTTGCTCGGGTGCTACCGTGGCTATTCATCCCTTAGTCAAGGCTTGCGACGATTAGAAATCTCTTGTCAACTTTAAGAGCTTCTTACCACTACGGCACGCGATTACACATAAATTGATGATAAGGCTTGTAAGCAGAAGTTGAAATCGATAATTTTGGAGAGTGTTCGAATTTCGATGCGTTAAAAAATAATGAAGATACGACAATCGGCGCAAGGCACATTTTCCGTATTTTTAGCGCATCGAGAGAAAATTATATTGGTTCTTGATTCTTACTTCCATAGAGATAGAACAATAAGCTCATATTGTACTCATGTACTTTTTCGCGGTTGAAGGACAACTATTAAATCCGTATGACGTTTCTCAACATTAATTGTTAGAGCAATCAAGTATCGCTGAATTAAGTTTAGGGAAATAGAAAAGTCGAGTTCTATTTTGTCGCTGATCTAGTCATGTAATCGGCAGCGTTCTCCTAGATAGCAAGCAAATAATATTACTTAAAGTAGGTTGAAACAATCAGATAATAAGCGTAGATAATAAGTATATTTACGATGTTTACTTCTATTACAACTACCGTGACTGATGAAGGATTTTTACAAAACCTCACCTCCACGATTGCGTGATCGTAGATCAATTTATGGACAAGTTGACCAGTGTCAAAATTATTTACCATGTCGATTAATTTAAATCGATGCCGACAAACAGTTTTCACAATGATTCTATAACATTTACAGTAATTTACTCATATATTATCCAAGAAAATGATTTATTCGCAGCAATGTTGATTGTAAACATTATTATGTAAGTCGAAAAGAAAACAATGTGCTAGTAAATGTCAGCTTATATAAACAATTATATGTGTGAAGCCACGTGCTTTTTTATGTAACCCATAGACACATAAAACTCTATTTTTGATGAATACACATATTCAAGGTGAAAATCACCAGAATTTAGGTGAATTTACAATCAACTTGTAATCAAGTTAATCAAAATGCAAATGTGTATTCTCGAGTGATTAATGATTCAAAAATAAGAGGATTTAGATTTGATATAATTTACTCTTCATATTGATTCTTTGTCACTATTAATCTTGATCATAAAAATGTTCTCCATAGCCGTATTATTACAAAATGCAAATCATTATTATTAGTACATAATTATATTATATCAGTACCGATATTTTTCAGTTTTTAGAGTTAATGGCAGTGTGATTATCATGATATATGCGATATCAAGATAATCGCAATCAATTATAAATCATTATAATATCAAGATATATAATTATTCAATATAATTATTTAAGATATATTGATATTATTCTTCATTTTTTTTATTTCGACAAAATCATGATTGATACTTATCAAAAAAATTTAATTTATTTCTTTTTGCTTTCTTGAAAAGATTATAATATAACATACATATACAGGATGTGTCCGAGTTAAATGGTCAAACTTGAAATATAAATTTAGGATATGAAAACAAAAAAAATTTTCTCTAGAAATATGCTCATAAATGCTTCATTGAAGGTATTGAGTAAGGATACTGATGAAGCTATTAAACTTGTAGGAATTATTAGAAATGAATAATTTCAAAATATTTTAAGTTTATCCTCTTTATTGCTTTATAATAATCAAAATTTAATTATTAAATATTTTGTTTAAAATAATGGCCTCCAGCCCCGAAACAAGTATATTGATGAGAAAATGAATGATTAACATTGTGTGTTTGTAAAGTTTTTCAAGTATTCAGCGAATTAATTATTTATTAATTACAAATAGATAAAATTTTGTTTGTGCGAGCACAAGCCTCAATAACCTTCGATCTTCAAAACAAAAAAAAAGCCATTATTCGACATTACTTATTTCTATAGTTTTGTAACTTCAGAAATCAATATTTCTTGAATGAAGAATTTATGAGCATATTTCCAGAAGAAATTTTTTTGTTTTGACGTCCTAAATTTATATTTCAAGTTTGGCCACTTAATCCGGGAGCATCCTATATATGTATATACATAATATGTATAAATGTCAGATGATAGATGCATCTAAAAAAAAGAAGTAAAAGCAAACAAAATGAGATATAATATAACTGATATATTTAATTGATAAATATTATTTTGTATAATAGATGATTCGAAATAATATATATATATATATATATATATATATATATATATATATTGTCCCTTGTTTTAAAATAATTATTTCGGGATTGATTTGATTACTCAGGTATCAAGATGATGTCTAAAGACTTCTTAACAACGTATTATGACATTATTAAATCATCATTAAGATGTCATTTGACGTCATTTTATTACCTGCATATTTATCAAAGAAATTTAATCTCCTTCAATTTCTTTTTAAATAAAATTAAAAATATATATTTTACATATACATAATATATATACGTAAATCTCAGATTTCAAGAAATTCAAATTCCACTCAGCAGGAATCCTCTCTGTTTAGAATACAGATATAGAAATCCAAATCACTCTATTTAGCGAGGATTCGAATTTCCCCTTAGCCAAGATTCAAATCCTTAGCGGAAATTCGAATTCCCTTCGATATCATCGCTCGACAAAATCGGACGCCACGTGTTAATATTCCGAAGTCGACCGCCAGATGGCGGCGCCATGGCTCAGATGGCACTCAACGCCCCCTAGGTAAGAACGAGACGTCGCGGCTATCGCTTCTCTCGAGTATCGCGCGCGGTCTATGCCCCGGGCCGTGTCGTGTGCGCGAAGAAATCGCGGAACCTAACCTCCTCCCTCCCTCCCGCCTCTTCCGCCGCCGATCCCCGATACGCGGCAAATGGCCGCCGTGGTGCCGCAGTTTCCGTGCGAGGTGTTGCGCGTACGAGCGCCGTGTACGGGCTGCGGGTCCGCGTGCCGCGGTGGTGGGTGTCGTCGACGATCAGTAACAACGTGGTGGTGGTGGCGGCGGTGGTGAGATCGGTCGCGTCGCGATCGAGACGCGGGAGGAGCACCCGGACTCGGTTCCACGACCGGGATGTGACGTGACGTGAGCGTCGACGAGCGTGACCGTTTCCGCGACAGAGATTCACCGAACGGGATTCCTCGTCGATTCCAACCTCGAGTCTCCAGCCGAGCCGACCAGCCAGGACCGAGCCGACCGACCAGCCGACCGACCAGCCGACAGCCAGCCGCGACGGCTGGCGATGAACGTCGCCGTGGGAACGGCGACGTCGGTGATGAAATCGGTGTCCGAGGGTGAGCTGGGCGTGGAGGAGGAGGTTAAGCGCGCGGAGCCGCGCGGCGCCGCGCGGCTCAAGCGCACCTTTACACTGCCGAGAAACCCGTTTCAAAACGCCAGCAACAGAATGTCGCGGCGACGTCCGAAGCAGCAGACGTCTCACTGCGCGGACCACCCGGGGAAGGAGTGCGTTGGCGTCAGGAACAACGCGGCGTCGCGACACGCCGCGACAGAGGGTATCATGCAGCAACACCAGCAACAGCAACGGCAAAACGCTACGGGGAGATTGCTGCACGGGAATCAGCAGATCGTGCAGGACTGTCAGGAGCGACAGGCGCCCTGCGGCAAGAAGGTGTTTCGTCGGCCCTCCTGGAGGAAGTTTATCAACAAGATGGTGCGCCACATGTCGAACGTGGGCGTCCAGGGCCACAAGGCCGCGGCGGCGGCGGCCGCGGCCGCCGCCGCGTCGATCCATCATCAACGCGGCGACGACCTCGGCTCGTCCGCGGGTGACATCAGGGTGCCGCCGCCCCCGCGACCGGCCCACATCCCGGCCGACCGGGTGCCGGGCGTCATAGGCCTACGCAACCACGGCAACACGTGCTTCATGAACGCGGTGCTGCAGTGCCTCTCGCACACGGACATCCTCGCTGAGTACTTCGTCCTCGATCAGTACAAGATCGACCTGTCGCGGCGCAACAAGCTCAACTCGAAGAAGTACGGCACCCGGGGCGAGATCACCGAGCAGCTCGCGCTGCTGCTCAAGGCCATCTGGAGCTGCCAGTACGACCCGGAGATGAGCACCGCGTTCAAGAGCGTCGTCGACAAGTACGGCAGCCAGTACCGCGGTAACCTGCAGCACGACGCCCAGGAGTTCCTCCTCTGGCTCCTCGACAAGGTGCACGAGGACCTCAATCAGGCGACCAAGAAGAAGTACAAGATCATTAAGGTGAGCGCGCGCGCTTTTCTTGCGAGTTTCAGCCAATGGAAATTGGACTCTCGTTAGTAGATTCTCTGTAGCAGAGAAATATGAGCCTTCGTTGTGTATAAATCTCACGTGTATGTGACGTCGTTCACATTTGACGTTTAATCTATACATCCTTTTTTTATTTGATATTTGATATTTTACATTTTAAAATTTTGATATTTAATATATATTGATAAAAGTATATATTAATAAAATATATATTATTTAATGAAATAATTAAAAATGAAATTAAATGAAATAATTAAAAAAATATATATTATTTAATATATATTTTTTTAATTATTTCATTTATATTTAAAAATTTTTTTTTATTAAATATATATTTTTCAATTATTATTTATTTAATAATTATTTTAATTATTATAAATTTTAAAGAATTTATGTGCGATATGATGTATTCTTAATCATTTCATTATGTCATTAGCTGATTTTTTTTTCGTTCCGTTTTAATAATTAATTTTATTTCTAATTTTAGCGAAAATAGGATTTAATTTTGACGGAAACGAAATCTAATTTTCACTCGGCGATACTATCTTTTTTTTATTCAGATCCCTCGGAATCCGTTAATCACACTATATTTCATTTTTACGTGAGAAAAGATATTATTTTGACGTTTAATCAATATATTCTTTTCTTTGACACATGACATTTTTTTAATTTTACATTTAAATAGTTAAATATATTATATTTTTTTAATTATACGTACATATTTTAAAGACTCTACCTGAAATTATGCGATGTGATGTGTTCTTAATCAATTCTTACGTTATTGACATCAGCTGATGTTTTTCTTCGTTCCGTTTTAGTAATTAATCGCTTTATTTTTAATCTTAGCGGAAACGAAAACTTTTTCGAGCGAGAAACGAAATTTAATTTTCATTCGGCGATATCTTTTTTTTTATCCAAGTTCGTCGGAATCGTTCGTTGATCATGTCATATTTCTTTTTTACGCGGGAAAGGTATTATTTGCTCTCTTTTATTTTTAGACCGTCGCCGTCGGTCGTGTTGTCGAACATATTTTTAGTAATATCGAGGAGCGAAAGGTCGTGTGCGAAAACGAAAATGACGGTGTGACACGTGGCTATTCGTATATAAAAAATGCTCGGCGCGTCTTGACCTCGAGTAAAAACTGTGCCATGGTGTGTATTTCCACGAGGGAGACATAACAAGTAGTAATGGACATTTTGAAAGAGAGAGAGAGAGATGCTTCGCTTCTTCAAAATGAGATTAATTCAATAACTAAGAAAATTATATGACACCAAGAATGTTATACAATTAAATTATACAATTATTAAATTATTAATACAAAATTAAATTATTATTAAATCATTAAAAATTATATACAATTATTTTAATTATATTCCTTCAATTAAGATAGTTGTATTTTAATTGTATCTTAAAATTATCTATTATATATGAAGAGATGTGATTTTAAGCATTAATGTAGAGGATTTCTGGAGTAAAAAGAAATTCAGTCTACAATATTAAAGTATCAGTATTCTTACATTTTATTTATACTTATTTAAACTTATGCTTTACTTACATTTAATATATTCTTAATATTTATGCTCTAACATGCAAATCGATGAATGAATATTATTTTTTTTAATATAATAATATTGGCCTCATATATCATGTCGAGGAAAAGGGGAAGGAAAAACGAATCGACACTTTCTAGCATTAAAATAACGGCATCTCGACAGTAAAATCCGAAGAAACTCAGGCAGAACGAATAAAATCTAATTAAAACGAAACACGTGGTGGCGGTTTAAAAGCATAGCAGCCAATTAACTGCATTCCTCGGTGTAATTTAATCGTCAAGCTGGTCGTCACGACGAAAGAAACTTTCTTTTTGGCTCGTCGTGGCCGCCAATGTAAGAAACGCGCGACGAAAGTCGCTATAGTCTCTGTCTCTCCCTCTCTCTTTCTCCCCTCCTCTCTCTTTTTCTCCTTTTTCCTCTTTCGCTCTCTCTCTCTCTCTTTCTGGAATCGCGTGCACGAAGCCGAACGCGTATATCGTGTGTAGGCACGATTGCACACGAACATGTAGCTTGCGTTGACAATATCTTTCTTTCTCTATCTCTCTCTCTCTCTCTCTCTCTCTCTCTCTCTCTCTCTCTCTCTCTCTCTCTCTCTCTCTCTCTCTCTCTCTCTCTCTCTCTCTCTCTCTCTCTCTCTCTCTCGCATGCGTGACGAATAATGGCGCGAGCACATCGCGGAGAATGGACGAGACGAGAATAACCGTGTGGGTGCTTTAATCTTCAACTCTGAACGCACGTGCGTCTTGGGGAAAAGCCGGAAATGCGACGACAGTCGCTGCTGAGATGCACGGATTTTCGACGATGACGTTTCTTCTTAAGGAGGCCGATTTAAAAAAAAATCTTCTCTCGAGAGATTAGAAATTACGTTTATCGTCAGCTGGTGACCGCCTTTCGTGAGATCTCCTTCTGTTCTTTGCCCCTCCGAGAACATCGTAAGAATTTAAATCTTTGCAATATACAGGGTGAATCACTTAAGACCGAATAACTCCTACAATTTTAGTGATAGGAAAAAATGAAAATTTGAAGTAAAAATTATTTATTATCGAGGAAGACGTGGTCATGTTTCGGGGAACATTTTTTCCCAGGTGGAAGCGCGTAGGAGATTTCAACTTAAAAATTTTAAATGGAAATCTTTATTTCTTATTACATATTCTTATAGCTTATCTCAAGAGCTTTCCAAAACACTATAATTAAGTTATTTTTCATTAAATATTTTGAAATACTGTTCGAGATATAAGACTCGAAATAATTTCTTAATTTTATATCAACTATAAAATATATCTTGTAAAATATTCATTTTTCGATTATCTTACCTCAATACTTTTATATATAAAATAATGAGAGGAATCAATTGGTGTAAAGAAAACACATGGTTGTTTTTAAGAAAAAATATGTTATTTGCAATAATTAACAATTACATACATATTACATATTAACAATTACATATTTTTAACTAAAACAGTTATTCGGGTGCCCGGTCTTAAGTAAGTCACCCTGTATATAGAGATAAAAGAAGAGAATAGGAGGAAGAGACAAAACGCTACGAGTTGTTGTTTATGATGGTTGAAAAAAAATTGATTGTTTTCGAAATAAACAAAAGATCAAAAAAAATTTTTAATTACAATTAAACCAATTTTATAGTTTTTGAAATATTAATTAATTTTCAAAAACAGAAACACGCACATCATTCGAATAAATTTTCATTCACTATGTTATTATTATGATTAAAATTCTATCCGTTGTTTATATTGTTACCTTGTTAGATATTTGGATTATTGGTTGTTTGCATTACTTGCTGCTATAATATATTAATACAGTATATGCTATTTGAATTTTCATTAAATGCGTAAGCCATTCATGTATGTATTTAATTTTTCTTTTAAATTTTTCTGCTTAATTTACTTTCAGTTTCCAATATAACCTTTGAAATTAAAACTCTTTAATCAATATGTATATGATAAAAAAGATTTTATTTATATTTATATAATTAATAGGTATAATCGAGGTAAAAATCGAGAATATTTTCCGGATAATTATTTAAAAAAGATTTTAATCATATTTATATAAATAATCAAGATAACGAGAATATTTTCCGGATAATTATTTAAAAAATTGTTTAATCGAGTAAAATGTTATTGAAATCCATTTGTCACGAATAATTTATATAAATTTATTCAAATAAAATATTGTCTACATCTCTGCTTACATAAGTACAATTTAATGATTGTACACAAAACGAATTGCGACAGACTTTGGCTTTATTTTTTTATCTACTACGAATTAAGTAAATTAAAACGACCAACTCATCGAGACCTTAACCCAAATTTATTTCACGTTCGAAAATACGTATTATGTTTTCCAAGATTGAAATCCCAAGGTAAGATAGCATGAAAGTAAATGGAAGGTTGGACGAATATGTTTAGCATAAAAATATTTTATAACACATAAAAGAATTGCCTCTATCTTCCTGTTTTCCTAAGTAATTACTAAAGTCTATCAGATAATTTTGACACAGTAATATGTTTATGTATACATAGAATTATTATTATAATTCAAATAATAAAATAAATTAAAATATCAAAAATAAAATTTTATAAAATTATTCAAAATTTTTTAATCATAAAATTTTTAAAATTGCTTATTTAAAACCTCTTATAGAATCATTCAGATTAAACGTGACGATTATCAATTATTGATTATTACTGATTTAATACGTGTCACGAAATCGTTACGAAATCGTTATAAAATGTCACAATTATCAATCATTATCTCTAATATCATTGAAAAATATCGTGATTATATCGTGATTTTTTTCAGCCTAAATAAAATATTTATAATATCATTAAAAAGTTATAATATCATTAAAAAATATCGGTGATTATATTGCGATTTCTTTCAGCTTAAATAATTGTTTTTCCATCTACGGAAAGCGAGGGGATATAAAAATAACAATTTACAATGCACTATAAATTATGGGCAAACAGACGCGTTTGTTGCATCTCCATATCTTCATTTCTCTGCGATTATTCATCTCCCACTGTTATCTTATCATTCGGTCCTCGATTGCGTTTATAAATCGTTTGCTGAGTCGGGGAGATAAGATTGTTTCTCTTCTACCGAAAGATCCGATAATTCGATCTCGAACATCAATAAAATGTGACGCTTCATTGATTACTGATTGGGTTACTGTTTAAAAATCACAAAAAAAATATTTTATCTCCACTCAATAACACATAAATTTTCGCATTTTTTGAAGCAAAATACGAAACCAAGCAGGCGATAATTCTTATGTAATTTTCTAAATATTATATAGATACTTTTAAACTAAACATACAATATGGATTAATCATATTGACATCATTTTGAATACATGGAATTGAATTAGAAAATGGAAAACGTGCGTTATTGAAATTTCTCGAG